TATAGAACATCTATGATGGAAGGTTCTGGTTCTTTGGAACAACAATTGGAAGCAACTAAGGTATGTATAATATTGTAAGAATAATTGATTATATCTAATTGTAAAATAAAACGAACGATCTTGATATATACGTAATTAAATTATTACAGAGAAAAACTCAGGAAGTACGTGCTCGTCGTCAAGATTTGAAGAAGATCGAGGATCTCGGTGCAATATTGGAAGAACATTTAATTCTCGATAATCGTTATACCGAACACAGTACAGTCGGATTGGCACAGCAATGGGATCAATTGGATCAACTTGGAATGCGTATGCAACATAATCTCGAACAACAAATTCAAGCAAGAAATCAATCTGGTGTATCTGAAGACGCTCTTAAAGAATTCTCTATGATGTTTAAACACTTCGATAAGGATAAGAGTGGACGATTGAATCATCAAGAATTTAAATCATGTTTGAGGGCTCTTGGATATGATTTGCCAATGGTCGAAGAGGGTCAACCTGATCCAGAATTTGAGAACATACTTGGTACATTGATTTCTTATTTACAAGAATCATTTTTTACATTCTGATATTTTCCCTACTATCGCAAATTTACCATGAAATTTGTTTACTCTTTGTAGATATCGTAGATCCGAACAGAGATGGTTACGTTTCGTTACAAGAATACATGGCGTTTATGATAAGCAAAGAAACTGAGAATGTACAGAGTTCTGAAGAAATAGAAAATGCCTTCCGTGCAATTACAGCAGCAGATCGGCCATATGTAACGAAAGAAGAATTATATGCCGTACGTATAATTTTTTATTCTATAATTTGTAAATGATTTTTATTACGTCGTTATGTAATTTATTTATTTATTTTTATGTTTTTATTTTTCAGAATCTTACGAAAGAAATGGCTGATTATTGTGTTGCACGTATGAAAGCATACGTTGATCCTAAAACGGAAAGACCAATTACAGGAGCATTGGATTACATTGAATTTACTCGTACACTTTTCCAAAATTAATTATCTGCATATAGTATATAATATATATATATATAAAAAAAAAAAATACATAATATATAATAATTGTTTGCACTGTTACTGTTTACAATAATATATACAATCTTTCTGAATAATAGCTTTAGAGGAATATTACAATATCCTCGTTTTGATATATGTACTTTATTACTAATAACTATCTCTCTTTCTTAATCTCTCTTTTTGTACTCAATTATTTTATTTTCTGCATTTAAACATTATTATTATATAAATTATTATCACAAAGGACTTGCTTCCAGCAACAAACACATGGCAGCTTTTGAGCGTTTTAACTTATGAGATATGTCATAAATAAATATTGAAATTCGTCACTCATACAAATATGCTTAATATATATAAACCATTACAATAAAATTATTTAACTAATTTATATATACATGATATAAATATATATATTTAACATTTACAAAGTAGATGAAATATTACAAGTAGTTGTAAATAGAATTAACGAAAATAAATATTATTTGATCGCAATTAATTTTTATTATCTTACTTGTCAATTATTTGTTTTTAATTCTTGCATTATATATAAATTTGAGATATAAGTATATTTTATAATTATTTATTGATGAAATTAAACATAAATTATATTTGATAATTCAGTTACATTTCATGCGCAGAAACATCTTTTGGTAACACTGATTTTATCTGGTAACATTGAACATATGGTAAGACTGGTTATTTTTTTCAGACTGTCGAAGTGACTTTTACTAATTGCAATATCTTACGAGTTATAAGCCGGTGTTGTCAAAATTTATTAAAAAATATTTTACGTGTAAATAATAATTGAATTAATTATTTTTCAATTTATAATTGTACATTTAATTATCGTAAGTTTAATAAATTATAATAAGAAATATCATTTCCTTATTAATATTAGTAATTACTGACATATTTAGTTATAAAATTAATTAATAATAAATATTACATTAATTAATATATGATTTGTAGTAAAATGGTTGTCAGACAGTATCAGGAGGAACTTAAGTATTTAGAAAAAATAAATCAATGGTCTTGGAGAATTAAAAAAGGTTTCCAACCTAACATGAAGGTACACACATTTTTAAAAAAATACTTTTATTCAAAGTTATCTACTTAGTTCGTGAAGTTAAATAATTAGCGTTAATATATTTTAGGTCGAAGGAATATTTTATGTTAACAATACGTTAGAACGTTTAATGTTCGACGAATTAAAAAATGCATGCAGGCCAGGTGTAGTTGGAGGTTTTCTTCCAGGTATGAAACAGATTGCTAACGTAGCTGCTTTACCTGGAATTGTTGGAAGATCAGTTGGATTACCTGATGTTCATTCTGGATATGGTTTTGCCATTGGTATAGTATTATCTTTTTAAATATATTTTTTATTTACATGTGATTTATCATAAAAATAATATATTAATTTACTATATAGGAAATATGGCAGCATTTGATTTAGATGATCCAAACTCAATAGTATCACCCGGTGGTGTAGGGTTTGATATTAATTGTGGTGTACGTTTGTTAAGAACTAATTTGTTTCAAGAAGATGTTTTACCTATTAAGGTATTCAATTTTATAATTTGTATATATTTTATAATCTAATTTGTTAAACTATGTTTTAAATATGATATTACATGTAATAGGAACAACTTGCACAAAGTATGTTTGATCATATTCCGGTAGGAGTTGGATCTAAAGGAATTATACCAATGAATGCTAAAGATTTAGAAGAGGCATTGGAAATGGGCATGGATTGGTCTTTGAGAGAAGGTAAATATTTCATTTCAATTTAATAAATGAAATGTCTATTGAACAATTTGAAGATTTTCATCGTGACGTTGATTGTAGGCTACATTTGGGCAGAGGATAAGGAACATTGTGAAGAATATGGTAGAATGTTAAATGCTGATCCTTCTAAAGTATCAATGAGAGCAAAAAAACGTGGTCTACCTCAGGTAAATCTTTAAAATAATATCAATACTATATTAATAAGTCCTTTGCACTTGTAAAATCAGCTGGTACTACTATCTAACGTATAATAACAATTGGGAGGTTGATGTCCTTTTAATACTAATAATAATATTATTTTAGTTAGGTACATTAGGTGCAGGTAATCATTATGCTGAGATTCAAGTAGTAGAAGAAATATTTGATAAATGGGCTGCATGTAAAATGGGTATAGAAGAAAAGGGTCAAATCTGTGTGATGATTCATTCAGGAAGCAGAGGTTTTGGACATCAAGTTGCTACAGGTAATTTGAATGAAAGAAAATAATTCTTTTTTTTTTTTTTTTACTTAATTTCATTATTTATCTAATAATCGTTTTGTTTTTATTTTTTAGATGCACTCGTGCAAATGGAGAAAGCTATGAAAAGGGATAAAATTGAGACGAATGATAGACAATTAGCATGCGCTCATATTAAATCTCAGGAAGGTCAAGATTATTTAAAAGCAATGTCGGCTGCTGCTAATTTTGCATGGGTTAATCGAAGTTCTATGACATTTCTTACTCGACAGGTTTGCATTTACAAAAATATAAATATAAATAATTTAATTACGCGTGTATATATTTTGTATTTTTCATTTTTATTTCTAGGCATTTGCAAAACAATTTCGTCTTTCTCCAGATGACTTGGATATGCATGTTATTTACGACGTATCACATAACGTAGCTAAAATTGAAGAACATCTGGTCGATGGCAAACCAAAGACCCTTTTAGTTCATAGGAAGGTAAGTTGTAATATACGATATATTTTGTCTTCTTGTAAATATAATAGAAAAAAGAAACTACATTACTTTTATTCTTTCAACAAAGGGATCAACCAGGGCTTTTCCACCTCATCATCCATTAATTCCTGTAGATTATCAATTAACTGGTCAGCCAGTTTTAATCGGTGGTACTATGGGAACATGCAGTTATGTTCTTACCGGAACTGAACAAGGAATGCAAGAAACATTTGGATCTACGTGCCATGGAGCTGTAAGTTATATTTAAAATTTTTTATTCTTTTGTTCTTTAGATTGTTTAGAAAAAGAAAATAAATTTGATTTAATTTGATATTTTTTTTTTTTATATATATTTAGGGTCGTGCCTTGTCTAGGGCCAAATCACGAAGAAATTTGGATTATAAAGATGTTCTAAATAAATTAGAAAGTTTAGGTATATCAATTAGAGTTGCTTCACCAAAATTAGTTATGGAAGAAGCTCCTGAATCTTATAAAAATGTAACGGATGTTGTAAACACGTGCCATTCTGCTGGTATTTCGAAAAAGTGTATTAAACTGAGGCCAATAGCTGTTATTAAAGGATAATTTCTATAAAATATATTTGAATGAACTGCTTTTGTATTTAATGTAAGTTACATATGCTATGAAATTCTCCATTAGACTGTCAACTATCGATGATATTAAAGAGAAGATATTGCATGAGAGAATTTATTTAAATAATTTAAATTAAATTTAAATTATTTTATATTTGCACTTACCGTAAAATATTAATTCTTTCATTCGAATGTATCTTAAAAAATGAAAGATCAATTGTGTTGTGATAAAAAATAGTATTTTTTATAATTCTTAAATACTAAATTATGAAATTCATATTTTTGGGGGAATACGGATGCATTTAATAAATATCGCATAATTATTTTGTAAAATGTTGTTTTTTTTTTTTTTTTAATTTTGTTATCGCAAATGTTACTAATTTACAAGTGTTCGTATGTGATTTGTATGTTACATGTTTGTTGTTATTTAATCTTATTATTTCGTCTTTATCTTTTAATATATTATAATATATATATGTACTTTTATTTTAAATGTATAATAATTTGTCAAAAATTATTTCAACAATATCTGCACAATTATTTGGCATCGCGAGTTCGCCGTTTTTATAAAACATTTGATCGAGAAAAAAAAAGAACATTTGCAATATATTTTAATTGGCATTAGTTAAAATATACAATTGTCTATTTTTATAATAATAATAATAATAAAATAAAAAAAAACAAGTCTACATTAAACTACTTTGTTTGACTTTACACGCAAATAAATTCGCGATTTTGTGTATGTGTATGTGTCGTGTATAAAACAAATCCTCCACTGACTAGACAAAATAATACAGAGGACGATGCTCATGAAAAATAGGATTAAATTTCATGTATACACATAGAAAGAGAGAAAGATAGAGAGAGAGAGAAAGGAGAAGAGAATAAGATAATAAAGCAATCCCGTCACCTTAAATAGAAAATAGATATTTTGCAATAGTTAAGTTATTTTCTTTTTTTTTTTTTTAGAAGGATAGTATCACTGATTATATAAACCCTTGAGAGCATATGCTAAAAAGTAGTCATTGGAGGAGTTGCATTTAGAAATACAAGACTGACCAAGTTAGGAAGAGTGGTCTGAAATGCATTCCGCGATAAGATTATAAAATTATATTATATATATAAAATAATTATACTAAGGAGAAATAGATAAAAGGAAATAGGAAGAGAAAGAAGAACTTCTTATAAATGATAATCAGGAGAAGGTTCAGCTACAGATTCGGTAGTGAACAGAGGATTTGGAAACTCTGGTGGATGTGGCAGTGGTCCAGCAGTCTTTGGCTGACGTCTATATGCCATTAACCAGCATGAAACAGCAATAGCTACAGCAACTAGTGCTAATAGTGCTGTTATTACTAACGCTATGATAAATCCAACCATGGAAACACAAATGTCTTCTACCCTTTGAGCCGAAGCAACTGAAAATTATATAATATTATATGATTAACTTATTGAACTTGCAAAATATCATGAAGTAAATAAAAATAATTTAATAGCGTACTTTCAGCCGGATCTGCTGTTAATCTTTCTTCCCTTCTTTCTAAAGTAAATATTAAGTTAGATTCGATTGTTATCTCTTCGCGTAGCTGCCCTTCGAAACCATCAGAAACACTTAGTGCTGTATCGTTTGATTCTGCCTCGACGTCCCTACGACGACGACCAAATGCATTGTATCCACGACAATTGACCTAAAATAAATAATTATTCATAAATATATTTGTCACAGGATTTTATTTCAGAGATAAAAATAATAAGAATAATTATTAAATAAATATTTACAGGTTGACATCTTCCAAAACAGACTCTTATGTTACATTGGAATCTGATATTATCGCTACTGGGAAACTTGAATGCATTAAAACTAGCCATCAATGACTGAGTTTCATGATTTTGTTCCCATTCTCCGAATATTGTTGGATCTGTTGCACATCCATTTTCATCTGTTACGATGTATTCGTTTTCCAAATTATCTTCCATTGTTTTGGCAACACAATTTCTTGCGAAACCTCCATAAATTGCTATAGATAATGAAAAATAAAACAAATAAATTAGATATTCGTTATTATTGAAAAATATAGTAAGAAACAAACAAAAAAGCAAGTTTCGAGAGAATAAGACGAGTGCACAGTATTACGAGTAGGATAATTTATTATATAATATTATTATAATATTATTTTTGTACTTTTTTTCTAATTATTTATTTGATAATTAGAAAAAAGTGCGCCTGTAGGTATGCAACCCTCCGGACACACTTGAAAATACCCAAACTGTTCATACACGTATGTATTACGGGTTGCCTATCTTTCGGGCAGAAAAAAATTCCGTCCCAGGAGATGGCGCTCGCAAGCATCATTTTCAAAGTGTGTCTGGAGGGTTGCATTCCTACAGGCGTAATGTTTTTATAAAAAATAATAATAAAAATTTAACTTTAATTATGCAATTAATACGCTTTGTTCTCGTAGGTTAAATTCTATAGATTTATATATGTTTGTCTCTTTCTCTCTTTTTATTTGATCGAGTTTGTTCGTTTTGTTTCTATTTATATCCCATTTTTTAAAAAAGTTTTTACTTACAAAATATAAAAAGTATACTTACATGATGGTTGAACTTCAACTTGTAGCATAAGATTATCCCCTATTTCGGCAGAATTAATTTCGTTTCCATTTTGAGTAACTATTTTCATTACACATGTTGGTGGTGGTCCAGTATTTGCAATAGTACCAGCAGTAGTTAACATTGAAACATTAAAGCCAAGTGTAACATTTTGTTCGCCAGTTTGATAAATACATTTGATGTGATAGGCCTGTGCTTTGTATGTTACCAATTTCGGATGTTTCTGAACGACGAGTATAAAACTGGCTTGTCCCTGTTGATTTAATTGAATGAGACAAATGTTTAATTAAAATAATTTAAAAAAAAAATGGATTTATAGTCAAATAGAGTACTTACATTAACATGTATCAATCCGCAATTACCGAACGCAACTTTAAATATTATATCAGTTTTATGTATAGTTTCAGCAGGTATTGAAACAACGCGTCTACATTGTTCATCTTTGCTACGTCCTTTGACATATAAAACCCCGTCAAATTCGTGATCTTGCAAATATATTTCAACTTGAACTCCATCCGATAAACAACTGACACCCATGTCCGGTGTTGGGAAATCTGTCTTGGGTGCTTTCTCTTTGCCGTCTATATAATACAAAAATTTCATTCAAATTGAAACCATACAATATTATAATCTATGTTTAATGTGATAGTTTTATTTTTATACTCACGGCAATGAGCTTGATGTCTGGTTACATTGCAAACTGTATTCACATTACACATGAGTTTTAAGCAAGGATCTTCACAAGTTCTTGTTGTTAAATCGCAGTATCTATTATCTGGACAATCGTCATCTATCTTGCATCCTATTATTCCAACTGCAATATGACGCGCGTTAATATTTATTAATATAATATTAAAAGGAATTAGTAATTAATGTAAAAATTATATATATGCTTACTGAGTTTGCAATATCCATTAGCTGTTATTCTGTATCCATCTTTAGTTGGACATATGCAACGACCATATTCGTCTATCAAAAATCCTTTTTCTAAAGCACAAGTACAATATCCTTGATTATTAACGATCATTCCAGTTTCTTCGTGACACGGTACGCAAACGTCGTGTTGATCTTTGGCCATGTGTTGCAGACAAATGCAATTACCATATTCGTCTGGAATTTGGCCTTTTTCGACTGGGCAAATATCTTCTGTAAAAAGAATAAATACACGTTGTAATACTGCGATCATATAGTGTGTGTATCACTAAATACAAATATAAAATATAATAAATTACTTGTATCGCATATCATTGTTCTGACTGGTTCGGTGTCTAATACTTTGCAAATAGCATTTACGCCGCAAGGTGCAATTTTGACGCAAGGATTTATACATTCTCCATCGAAGCATGCAGTCTGTGGTGGACACTCGTAATCTGCTTTACAAGTTTCTGCAAGCAAACGATAAAATAGTTTTAATAAAAAAAATGTAACTACAGTAATATAGTAGAATTATTTAAAATGTTGTTTCATAAATACGTAATGTTTTACCTTGGACACATCCAGATTTGGAATCAGCAATGTATCCTGGAGGACAAGAACACTCGACAACATGATTATATACATTGCATTCAGTTTTACCGGTGCATGGATTAGACGTGCAAGGATCTTCGCAACGATTGTTAATGCACGCTTTATTTGTAGGACAATCTGTATTACTTCTGCATCCTAATAAAACACAAGATACTGTTGGATTGCCTTTCATGCCTGGTGGGCATTCGCAAATAGCTTTGTGATTTATAGCACGACATTCTGCTCCTTTTCCACAAGTTATTGTCGTGGATGAACAAGCAGGAACGCAATTGTGTCTCACGCATACGTGTGTTCCACTACAATCTTCATTCGTACGGCAACTGGTGACTAAAGTATGGAATAAACGATTAGATACAAATTATTATAGTAATAATAACTTGAAAGCTATCATTTATACCTTCGGTACATGCGATGTCCGCACTTCCATCGTAGCCCAAGACACAAGAACATACCGGTTTATGATCGACTACATTGCAAATTGCATTGGGTCCACAAGCACATGGATTTCTGCATATACCATTGATACAAGATTTGTCATGAGCACAGTCGTTATCCTTTGTACATTCGATTTTAACTATTGGCGTGGTAGGTTGACAAGTTCCACTGCCACTACTAACGTATCCACTTGGACAAACACAAATCATGGTTCTTACAGGAGATGTTGGTAATACTCTGCATTCCGATGGCGTAGTACATGGTTGCATGATCGGACAAGGTTCTTCGCATTTGTGATTGAAACAAGCTAATCTGTCTGGACAATCGCTGTCTTCTCTACACTCAGGTTGTTCTTCCAATTTGCAAAGGATGTATGGATTTCCAGTATAATGAGATGGGCAACGACAAATTGGTATATGATTAAGAACTTTACATTCAGCACGAGAGGAACAAGGATTATCGTGAAGACATGGATCTATGCATTGCATGTTGATACATGAATGTTCACTTGGACAATCCCCGTTACTGTGACAACCAATAACTCGACATTTGTCCAAAGGATTACCGTAATATCCTTTGCGACAACGACAATCAGCTACGTGATTTCTAACGTAACACTCGGCATTCAAACCACATTGATCTGTCAGTAAGCATGGATCAACGCAATAATTATTCTTGCAGGATTTATCTTGAGCACAGTCGTAGTCATGTTGACATTCCACCGAAACGCATGAAATTTCAGGATTACCTTGGTAGCCTTCTTTGCAAGAACATATTGGCTTATGATTTCTTACGAAACATATTGCATTGGTACCGCAATTGCATGGATCTCGGCATTGTCTATTAACGCAAGCTTCGTTGTCATTACATTCATCGTTTGTAACGCAAGCACCGATGTTTGTTAATTGTACTATAAAATATAAAACGTATACAATTAAAAACTAGTTAAAGAAACATTATCGTAATTAAAATAAAAAGTTAACAACTTACTTGGTCTACATATTCCATCAACATGAGTGATCCATCCTTCTGGGCATGTACAAGTCATGGTACGTACAGGTACGGTGTCTAAGACATCGCAACGAGCATTTTCTAAGCATGGTTTTAATACTGGGCATGGATCTATGCATTCACTTCTGATGCATACTAATTTATCACCACAATCAGCATCGATTCTACATTCTGGTTCTTCCTCAACACCAGATGGATAACGTTCACAATATGAATATGGATTTCCTGATGGTATGTTTACTGGACAACGACAAGTAGCTTCGTGAGATTGAACATAACAAAGAGCGTTTTGAGCGCAAGGAGAATTTTCAGAGCACGGATTAATGCAACGTCCAGTTCTACAAGCTTGATTCGAAGGACAATCGTAATTGTTGTTACATTCTATTCTTTCACAATGTATTTGTGGATTTCCAACGTAACCAGGACCACAACGACAAGCTGAACGATGATTAGATCCGTAACACTCAGCATTGATGGCACATTTGTTGTCCAAGAGACATGGATTAATGCATTGTCCATTGTAACAAGTTGCTGCGTTATTGCATTCGTTATCAGACTCGCAATCAACTGTAAATAAATATAAAATTATTATTCGTTACTGTATAGTATGTCAACGTATATAATTTTGAGAAATACTTACGTTTGAAACAACCAAGCTGTGGATTGCCAGAATAACCATGTGGACAAACGCATGACGGATAATGATTGGCCACTATGCATTTTGCATTTGGTCCACAGTTGCACGGATTTATACAGACACCGTTAAAGCATGCTGTATTTCCGGCACAATCAATATTGGACGAACATTCCGTAACAATTTCAGCTATAACAATAATTTTAGTTAAGACATCAAATATATTTTGTTAATCCATATTGTTATAATATTTTGTATTAATAACGTTTAACTTACGTGGTATGCAATTTATTCTAGGATCACCGATGTAACTTTGTGGACATTTACAAATGGAATCATGATTTTCTACATGGCAAAGTGAGTTCTTTCCGCAGGGTTTAGCAGCAATACAAGGATTTAAGCAAAGTGAATTAATGCATTGTTTGTCATGAGCACAATCACTGTTGCTATAACATTCCGGTTGATTTGGTGGTAATGGTGGGAATGTTACTGAAAATAACAAATATATCATTTACAATTTTGTAATTTACGAAAAATTTGAATGATTCAAGTTTTATAAACAATGTTTGATTTATTATATTCATAATTAAGTAAGAAAAATTTGTTATACCTCTCGTGCATTCGACGTAACCATCTCCAGTAAATTCAGAAGCACAAACACAGGTAGCAGTATGATAAGTTGATTTACATTGAGCATTGTATCCACATTGTATGGTGTCACAAGCTTCAACGCATCGTCCATTCAAACATTTCTCGTTATCATTACAATTTTGATCCAAGTGACATTGTACATTAGTCAATTCTGTATATCAAACAAATTATACACGATTAATATTAAATCTAGAAATAAATTTGCCATATCTATATACTAGATATTAAAAGTAATACCTAATTTAACGCAGTTTCCATTGATATCGGTAACCGTGTTAGGTGGACACAAACATATGATTGTACGAAGTGGAATGGTATTTAAAACTTTACATTCTTGATCTTGAGTACACATGTTAGTTGGTCCACATGGATCTTGACAGTGTCCATTCATACATGCCAAGTTAGATTGACATTCTATATCTTCTAAACACTCTGGTTGAATTTCTATTCCTGCAATTATAAATTGTATGTAAAATAATTAAATTATTATTATAAGAATAATACGAGTATGTTGAATTAATAAAAAAAAAAAAACTTACGATTGCATTCAATATATGGATTTCCGGATGTTCCCGTAGGACATACACATTTTGGTTGATGATCTCTGCCAATGCAAGTAGCAGTTTCAGCACACGTTTCAGAATCGCAAACAGGTCGACAGATTCTGTTCAATCTGTCGCAAAGTTCATGATCCGCACAATCCTCGTTGTAATGGCATATCGTTGAAATACATGCTACATGCGGATTACCCTGTTTGCCTTGAGGACAAACGCATTGAGCTTTATGTTCTGCAGTTATACATTCTGCTCCTCGGCCACACGTAATTTCACCAAGAAGACAAGGTGAAACGCAATTGCCATTCTGGCATGCTTTGTCATAAGGACATTCACGATCAGTTTTACATTCAGCTGCAAATTATAAAAACAAAACAACGTAAAATTATTGAAAGGAAACGTTATGATTAATATTAGAATCAAATTTCAATCATAACACTTACGTCTGAAACATTGTATTTGTGGATTTCCTGCAAAACCTTCTTGACAATGACAAGTTGGATGATGTCTATTGACAATACATTCAGCATTTGATCCACATCTGTTACTTAAGCATGGATCTTGACATAAACGATTTATACATGCTTTATTGGATGGACATTCGGAGTTTGATTCACATTTAGGCAATGCGTTGTTTTCTGTTTAAAAGAAACATTATTATGATTAATATTAACAAGTTTTATAAATTTGATATACTTTATAATATTTAATATTTTTATTACCTTCGAAACATATTACAAATGGATCACCGGTATGTCCTACAGGACATTGACAAATACGACGATGGTTTTGTACATAACACTCTGCGTTGGTGGCACACGGATTAACAGCGCATGGATTGATGCAGCATTGATTTAAGCACGTCATATCCGAATTGCATTCGGAATCACTTACACATACTACGCCAATTTGTTTGTCAACTGTAATAAAAACGTTAATCAAGTTAAACAATAATTGTCGTCATTATTAGCTAAAAATTAATTAAATACCTGGAATACAGGCAACTGTTGCGTCTCCCATGAAGTTTCGTGGACACTCACAAATCATAGTTCTCATTGGTAAAGTGTCTACGACACTGCATTTGGCACTAGCGATACATGGTTTAGTTTCTGTACATGGATCTCTGCAAATTCCATTGAAACACGCCAATTTGCTGGGACAATCTACGTCAGTTTGACATTCAGGAACAGGTTCTTCCAATTCTATAAATACAAATATATTTTTATGATAATGTGTGTATAGGTTCAATAAAATATTTGTAATCTTAATCAGAAGTAAGTTTACCTAAAGTGCATGATGTGTAAGGATCACCGATATAACCAGGTGGACACTGACAACTTGGTCGATGATTAATAACCAGACATTGAGCAGTAGAAGGACACGAGCAAGGATCTGTACATTGTAAATTTTGACATGCCAAAGAAGGTGAACAATCATTGTCACTGGTACATTCTGGACGTTTGCATAATTGATAAGGATTGCCCAAAAATTTGTCAGGACAATAACAACGAGCTTTATGATAACCATCAGCAGTACACAACGCATTGATACCACATTGCATTACTTGACAAGCATCTATGCACTCATTGTTGATACAAGATTGAGTCAATGGACATTCATTGTCACCACGGCAACCAACTATAAAATAAATAATTATAATTATTATACAAAATGTTGTTGAATTATTTGTGTTGTCAATTACAATACTGATACATACTTTTGTGACAATATTGTTGAGGATTACCAGTGAAATCTTCGTTGCAAACACAAATTGCTCTGTGCATTTGAACAAAACAACGACTGTTGAGACCGCATGAATGAACACTGCAAGGATCTATGCATTTATTGTTCGAACAAGTTTTATCGTTCGTACAATCGGTGTTATGTGTACATTCCAAACTTGGTACTGTAAATTTGTAATAATTAATTGATCATTTAACATGTAATACAAATATTATTATATAATTTATGTATTAATAATAATTTACCTTCTTGAGTAGTAATCGTGCATTTTATGTGAGGATTACCCATGAAACCACTTGGACAAGAACATACTGGTTTATGATTAATAGTCTGACAGATGGAATCTATTCCGCAAGCATTGATACAAGGATCCCTACATTTTTGTGCCAAACAAACTTTTTCCCTTGGACAATCGGAATTTATAACGCATTCTGGATAAACGCAATAAGCTACGTCATTTCTTACTTTACATTCGCCATTGTAATTGCATGGAGATGAACTGCACGGATCGATTTCTACAACAATAAATGTTGATTAGTATTAATTCCTATTTAATAAAATCTTTATATAAAATATTAATAAAAATTGAGATATACTAACCAGTTTGTTGATAACATTCGGTAAATGGATTACCAATCAATGGTGGAATACAACTGCATAATGGACTATGATTGAGTACTTTACAGGTTGCTTTGATTCCGCATACATTCAACGAACACGGATTAATGCATTTGTTATTCACGCACGCTTTATCAACTGGACATTCAGAACTAACGACGCATTCTGGACGACAACCTGTTATATCTGTTGGTGTACCTAACATTCCAGGAAGACACTTGCAAATTGCTGTATCTCGTAACGTTTCACAGATAGTGTTTGGTCCGCATGGTGAAGGATGGCACGGATTTGTTCTGATTGGTTCTAATATCATAAGAAATATAAATTTAGAAATTATTTTAACTGTATTAAAAATGTAATCTTAAAAATATATTTTTTATTGTTACCTTCTGGCATAAAGCAATGAGTGAATGCATCACCGATGGTTGGTGATCGACAAGAACAGATGGGTATGTGATTTGACACAGTACAAATGGCGTTTATTCCACAAGTACCGATGCAAGGATCTTGACATTTCGTTCTGATGCACGCTTGAGATTTTGGACAATCGGTGTTCAATAAACATTCTGGTTGACAACCAAGATAAGGATCACCTCTGTAATCTGGTATACATTCGCAAACAGCAATGTTGTTTATTTCTCGACAATAAGCGTTGGAACCACACGGTGATGGACTGCATGGACTTAAATTCGACGGTGGTTTAGCCATCACTGCAATAAAATTCAATAATTCATCCATTAATTGTAGTTATTAAATAACGTACGTATATGTTAATCACAATTTGCCTTATTCTATGTAAAAACAAATAATAACAATAGCAAGCATTGTTTCTTTTTTTTTTTTACAAATATTGTACACGTACTAAAAAGCAATATATAAAAATATAAATTTATTTAATTATAAATATTCAAATTGAAATAAAAATATTTTTTAATGTATGATTGAAAAAAGTGAAATATATATATATGTATGTATGTACAATCGAAGGCTATTGTACACAATAGTGTAACATGCATTTTGTGCATATAATATCATTTATACAATATTTACAAATTCAACTGAAATATATAAGATATTATAGTAATGTAATATAAATTACATTAGTTATAATATGACGAATAAAATGTTAAACATTTCTTACTCAAAAATACGGAACACATTCTAAGTGGGTCTCCGGTGTATCCTTCGAGACAATCACAACGAGTTTGGTGAAGGGTAACTTGGCAAATTGCATTAATACCACATAATCCAACACAAGGGTCACTGCATTTTTTATTGATGCACGATTGATTGGCTGGACAATCGGTATTTATAATGCACTCAGGTCTACAATTTGGTGGTGATCCTATGAAGTTGGGTAAACAGGTACATAAAATTTTCTGCTCGTTTGATACTGTGCATTGTGCGTTTGATCCACATGGCGATGGTTTGCATGGATTTCTTGAAGGTTCTTCGTATGGCGGGTCTAGCAAAAAATGATGGTTTATTTTTCTATTCATAAGGAAATTTTTTTTTATCTTGGTGGGTTGTCGCAAGAATTCAGATAATAAACTTACTCATTCGGAAACAATTGACGAATGGATCACCGGTGTATTGTTGAGGACAGCTACAAATGGCATTATGATTACGAACCGAACATAATGCATTATAAGCACAAGCATTTTCGCAAGGATTTTGACATTTGTTATTGATACAAGCTTTGTCTTGTTCACAGTCAGAACTAACAACGCATTCCGATCTACAACTTGGTGGTACTCCAATATAACCAGGAAGACAAGAGCAAGATGCTTGTTCCCCGAATTCGTGACATACACTATTGGGTCCACACGGTGAAGGATTGCAAGGTGTTTTACGGGCTGTGATCATATTTTTAATTTATATTAGAATGCTTTTCATCTTGTAATTATATTATGATTAGGATTAATAAATAAAGGACTCACGTTGTACGCGTTTACAGATACTGAAAGGATCACCCTCATATTGTTGGAGACAGCTACATGTTGGAATATGATTAATGACAGTGCATTCTGCATTTTGACCACAAATTCCAACACAAGGATCGACACATTTGTTATTTATGCATGCCCTATTGAATGGACAATCAGGATTTTGTATACATTCTGGCTTACACTCTTGATATGGGTCACCATGATATTCGTTTATACATTCACAAAGTCCATTATTACATATAGCGTTCAATCCACAGGGAGATGGATGACATGGGTCAGGTAATTCGGGTGCTCCAACTGTAGAATATTGGAATATGTTAAAATGTGAAGAACTATTGGATGTATCAATTTTCATAAACATATTGTAAGGAAATTATTGAAGTCTCTTACATATTGGAACAAGAACGCAGTTGGTAAATGCATCCCCGGAATATCCATTTGGACAAGTACAAGATGGGGTATGATTTATAACGGTACAAATAGCATTTGTTCCACAAGATCCAGGACATGGGTCCTTGCATTTGTTTCTAATGCAAGCTTTGTTACTAATGCAATCAGAATTTATTGAACATTCTGGACGGCAATTGGGTGGTGTACCTATATAATCTTGCAAACAGGAACATGATGGGAAATCTTTATAATTTTGACATAATGAAAATGGTCCGCATGGGGATGGTATGCACGGGTTTCCAGGTTGCGGAAAATCAATTGTCACTATAAAAGAGAAAATAATTCATGATTAAATAAATACGATCACAAAATCTTTTAAAAGAGAGTATGGAAATCTTATGAATCAGGAATTGTAGTCGGTGGTCATCACTTACAAGATATGTCAAAGCATCTGACAAATGGATCTCCAGTTTTATCGCTACCGCAACTGCAAATAGGACTATGATTGATGGTTTCACATCGGGCTTCTATTCCACATACACCAGGACAAGGATCAACGCATTTTTGATTCATGCACGCTCGGTTTATAGGACATTCTGTGCTGACAACACACTCTGGTCTACAATTTGGTGGAGCTCCTTTGTAATTTAACAAACATGAACAACTAGCTTTTCCATTGGTATTAAGACATTGACTGTTTGGTCCACATGGAGAAGGATCGCACGGGTCTTTGATACTTGGCGTTACTGTGGAAAATATGTTATTGCATGATAATCGTCTAATCAATTTATGGGTTGACATGAAATATTTTGGGATATTATTAAACTTACAATATTGTCCGATAGGATTACAACGAGTGAATGGATCACCAGTATACTCAGATTGACAATTACAAGATGGTATATGATTGATGGTGTAACAAACAGCATTCAAGCCGCATGTTCCGGGACAGGGATCTTGACACTTATTACGTACACATGCTTGATTAAGAGCACAATCGGAATTAACAACGCACTCGGGTCGACAACCTTCGTATGGGTTTCCATAAAATTCAGGTAGACACGAACAGAATGCCGTCTCGTGTGATATACGACATTTAGCATTTGTGCCGCATGATATTTCTCGACACAAATCAGGTAACTTAGGTACTTCATATACTACAATCCAAAAAAAATAAAAGATGTTATTATATGACTTATACTTATGTATAAAATTCAAGTATGTATAGGGTATATCCTTTTGTTTAAACCTACATTGTTGCGGGTAGCACTGTGCAAATGGATTACCAGTGAAACCATTGGTACATGAGCATATGGGAATATGACTGACTGTACTGCATTCTGCATTAATTCCACATGATCCTGGACAAGGATCTCTACATTTCCTATTGATACATGCCTGCTGAATTGGACATTCGTTATTGCTAATACATTCGGGTTTACAATTTGGTGGGCTTCCATTATATTCGGGAAGGCAAGAACACGATGGTGCATTATTTAAAACTTGGCACAATGAATTGGGTCCGCAAGGTGATGGTAGACAAGGATTTACTGGAGGTTTTGATTCTAATTCTGTAAAGTAACAACATTTATATAAGTTAACAATTATTTTCGAATAAAAATTGAACTAATTGGTTATAGGGAAATTCTTACGTTGAGGTATGCATTTTATAAATGGATCTCCTATATATGACGCTGGACAACTGCATATAGGATTATGATTGATAACAACACATTCTGCGGATATTCCGCAGGCTCCTGCGCATGGATCGATACATTTCTGATTATTACAAGCTCTGTTACGAGAACAATCAGAGCTTACAACGCATTCTGGTCTACAGGAAGGTGGTGTTCCTTTGAAACCAGTGATGCATGCGCATACAGCAACACCATTAACTTCATTGCAATGACTGTTCGGGCCACACGGGGATGGATTGCAAGGATTCTTTGCTGTTACGTCTAAATAATGTGTCATTGATTAATCACCAATTAATATCAAATCTTTTCGATTTACCAATCTTGCAAATAATATTTCAAGTATACAAACCTTCGATAGGAGTGCAAGATATGAACGCATTACCGGACATATTTTCTGGGCAACTGCACATAGGCAAATGATTAACGATATTGCATTCAGCATTAATGCCACAGACACCGATACAAGGGTTTTGACATTTATGTTGTATGCAAGCTTTATTACGAGAGCAATCTGTATTAACAACACACTCGGGACGGCAACCAACGTATGGATTTCCAAAATATTCTGGTAGACACATGCAAATACCTTCATTACATTGAGTATTTGATCCACACAATGATTCTTTGCAAGGATCAGTTTGTTCATCTTCTGCGACAAATGATAAATTATTGATTAAGTTAAATGATATAAATGTATATAAAAAAAAATATAATTTGTTTAACATTCTTACTGTTTGTTTCAGGTTTGGGATAGCAGTTATCGAAAGGATCACCAGTGTAACCTTCAGGACATGTACATACTGGTGTATGATTAACAACTGAACATTGTGCATAAAGACCACAAGATCCAGGACATGGGTCTCTACATTTTTCTCTCATGCAAGCTTTATTGGCAGGACAATCTGAATTTATGGAACATTCCGAGCGACAATTAGGTGGTATCCCAATGTAATTATTCATACAACTGCATACTGGTACATCGTTAATGGTTTTACACATTGCATTAGGCCCACAAGGGGATGGGGTACATGGATCTTTGGGATATACATCATCCGGTTTTGGTGCTGTTGAAAAATGTAATTAATTATAGTTTGATTTTTTTGTGGAGAATATTTGAAAAGAAATAAATCGATTGATAAATATTTACCTGAAAAGCAGTAAACGAAAGGATCACCCGTCATATCGAATGCACAACTACAAATAGGACTGTGACGTATAACTTTGCATTGAGAATTGCGTCCGCAAGTTCCAGGACATGGGTCTACGCATTTATTTTTAATACATGCTAATTTCGAATCGCATTCTGAATTAATTACGCATTCGGGTCTACAGTTCGGTGGAGTTCCTATAAATTCTGGTAAACATGAACAAACGGCTTGATCGTTAATATTTTGACATCTGCTATTAGGGCCACAAACAGGTGAACTACATGGATCTTGTTCTTTATCGGTAGCTGCAAGTATAATAAATTATTATTTAGTTATTTGGTTAATGTAAATTAAAAAGATATATATAGAAAATAGAAAATTTTAGTAACTTACGTTCTACCATTTCGTAGAAACAATTTGTGTATGGATTTCCAGTGTATTGCGGCAAACAAGTACAAATAGGTAAATGATTGACAACTTGACAGTCTGCGTTGGAACCACAAGTACCAGGACATGGATTTGTACATTTAGATTTAACACAAGCTAAATTAGAAGGACAGTCAGAGTTGATTGAACATTCAGGACGACATCCCTCGTAAGGGTTTCCTATGTATTCAGGTAAACATGAACAAGTAGCAACTCCTTGAAGTTGTCTACAAACTGCATTTACTCCGCAAGGAGATGGTTGACATGGTTGATTCAATTGTGGTGATTCGGCTAAAAAATTTGTATGAAAATGTGAATCATTTGTTTATCATGTACATCGGTTTTAGAATAAACAGAACAAATTTGTTACTTACTTTGTTTAACTGTGCATTGTATAAATGGATCACCAGTATAACCATAAAGGCAAGTACACGTGGGTATATGATTTAATACGTGACATTCAGCATTTACACCGCAAGAACTTGGACATGGATCAACGCATTTGCGATTGATACATGACAAGTAATTACTGCATTCACTGTTACTAATACATTCGGGTCGGCAATTAGGTGGTGTGCCAATGAATCCATCTTTGCAAGAACACGATGGTGCGTTGTTTCGAACTTGACAATGAGAATTAGGACCGCAAGGTGATGGTTGACATGGATTTAAAGTTTGTGGTACTTCATCGGCTTAATAGAAAAATAATTCAAAAATTAATACATTGTTAGTTTCATGAAAATATATGAAGATAATTAATACATACGTTTAGGTATACAACGAACAAATGGATCTCCGGTAAATATGGGTGCACAACTACAAATAGGATTGTGATTAATAACTTGACAACGAGCTGATATACCACACGAGCCTGGACAAGGATCTTTGCATTTCATATTTATGCAAGCTTCATTTAATGCACAATCAGTGTTAACAGTACACTCGGGTCGACATGCTGGAGGATTTCCAATATATCCGGAAACGCAAGAACAAACGGCTTGCCCGTTAAATTCTTGACATCTGCTGTTTGGTCCGCATGGGGATGGATTACATGGTTGGACAATTTCTGGGTCTATAAAATGAATTGTTTGTAAGGTATATATGAAAATAACATATACGTAGGAATTACCATGATGTTCATTTACCTTTTACGGGATAACACGCAGCAAATGCGTTTCCTGACATTCCATCAGGACAACTGCACATTGGAGTATGATTTATTACAATACATTGTGCATTTTTGCCACATGCTTCTGAGCATGGATCAGAACACTTATTCCGAACGCAAGCTTTATCTAATAAACAATCTGGATTTTGTACACATTCAGGACGGCATCCATAATATGGATCACCATGATACTCCGGTAGACAGGTACACGTGCCGTTATGGCATATTGCATTCGAACCGCATGGTGACAGACGGCAAGGATCTTGTAAATCAGGTGTAGCTGTAATCATTTTTTATCATGCAATAAACTTGTGGGATAAAAATAATACAAATTAATTTTATAAATGATTTCATACGTTCTGGTTCTAAGATACAATTGACGAAGGGATCTCCTGTATAACCATTGGGACATACACACATTGCCATGTGGTTGATTACATAACAATTAGCTCCGATACCGCAAGAACCAGGACAAGGATCTGTACATTTCTGTCTCAAACATGCTCTACTACTAATACATTCAGAATCTATTGTACATTCTGGACGACAATTGGGTGGGCTGCCTATATAATTTTCCATACAGGTACATGTAGGTATTCCACTGTTTTTACTATCTTGACATATGGAGAATGGACCGCAAGGTGATGGTACGCATGGATTTATTGGTTCAGGTCGTGGACTAAGTGGTGCTACAAAAATATTCATTCCATTTTTTAAATTAATTATACAATAAAAAATAACTGTGTTAAACATTTGAGATACAATTGTTTTATACTTACGTGCAAGATCGAAACATCTTACAAATGGATCACCAGTTGAACCTACTTTGCAACTACAGATAGGGCTGTGATTGATTACTTCACATCTTGCATTAATACCACAAATTCCTGGGCATGGATCTATACATTTACGATCTTTACATGCACGGTTTGTAGAACAATCAGAACTAACAGTACATTCTGGACGACATGCAGGTGGTGCTCCAATAAATGTAGGCAAACAACTACAAATTGCTTGATTGTTTGATACGCGACATTGACTGTTAAGACCGCAGGGTGAAGGAACACATGGATCTGTTGGTTTTGCTATAAATGAAACTTAATTAAATTGAATTCTTCGATAAAATTATGTCTCCAATCAAATATTAATAATATAACTTACGCGTTTCTTCTACAATGTTACAATACAGGAATGGATTACCAGTGTATCCACTTTGACAAGTGCACAAAGGTGCATGATTAACTACTTGGCAAACGGAATTTTGACCACAGAAACCTGAACATGGATTTTGACATTTTGATCTAATGCATGCTTGATCGGCAATGCAATCACTGTTAATAATACATTCAGGACGACAGCCTTCGTAAGGATTTCCAATGTAATTTGGTAAACACGAACAAGAACCAACACCATTTAATTCACGGCATAGTGCATTAGATCCACATGGTGATGGTAGACATGGCGTTACTTTCATACTTGTGTCTTCTTCAGCTACATATATGAATAATGTTTTTGTTTTTGTCAATAAAAAAATTCAATCATTTATGCAATTATGATATGATTTAATATTACTTACGTTTTCTAGCAGTACATTGTACAAATGGATCACCAACAAATCCTGAACTACACACACACATAGGTGTATGACTTATTACTCTACATTCTGCATTAACACCGCAAGAACCTGGGCAAGGATCTCGACATTTTTGATTGATACAAGCCAATTGTGTAGAACATTGACTGTTGCTAATGCATTCTGGTTTACAATTGGGAGGTGATCCTATGAATTCTGGTAAACAAGAACAAGATGGTGCATCGTTTACGACACGACACTGACTGTTTGCTCCGCATGGTGATGGTTCACAAGGATTAGTAATGTCAGGTTGTTTCTCTGCTACATTTTAAAAAAAATATTGTTAGAATGAAATGAGCAAAATAAAAATATGACAATGTATTTGTTAGGACAATTGTGATTGATTACTCACGTATGAAAATGCACATGGTAAATGGATCTCCTGTTAAATCTGCGGGACAACTACAAATTGGATTGTGATTGACTACCAAACATTGTGCTCTAATACCACAGGTTCCACGGCATGGATCTATGCATTTTTGATTATTACATGCCATGTTTGATGAACAATCCGAACTGATTATACATTCGGGTCTACAATTTGGTGGGGAATCCAAATATCCAGGAATGCAAGAGCAAACTGCTTGGTCGTTTATTTTCTTGCATTGACTATTCGATCCACATGGTGAAGGATTGCATGGATCTTTTTCTACGGATGCTATAAAAAGATATCATAGTTATTGATATATTATAAAATATGAATCGGAATATATCAATAAAAATTTGATCGTACCTTCTACAGGTGAACATAAAACAAATGGATTGCCTGACATTCCCGATTGACAAGTACAAATAGGAACATGATTTGCAACAGAACAAATGGCATCCCTGCCACAGATTCCTGTACACGGGTTTCTACATTTGTTATTAATACAAGCTTTATCTCTTGGACAATCGAAATTCAATACACATTCTGGACGACATCCCAAGTAAGGATCTCCTTGATATTCCGGTAAACAAATGCAAATTTCATTAATGCATTGAGTGTTTGCACCACACTGTGCGCATGGATTTTGTTTATCCGTTTGGTCTATTGATAAATAAAAATAATAAATTTATATCGAATAATTGTATTATTTAATACGTTAATCGTTATTTAAATGTTATCTTACCATCTTCAATTTTTGGAATACATTTAACGAATGGATCACCACTGAATTTATCTGGACAGGTACATACTGGTATATGATTGATAACAGAACACGTTGCTCCGATTCCGCATACGCCATTACAAGGATACTGACATTTCTTTTGAATACATGCTTCATTACTTGGACATTCTGAATTGTTAATACATTCTGGTCGACAATTAGGTGGTGCTCCTATATAATTTGGTGAACATGCGCAGGATGCTTGTCCATTAATGTCACGGCATTCAGAATATGGACCACAAGGTGAGGGAACACATGGATTAACATAAGGTGGAAGTGTTTCGGTGGGTCTGTCAGCTATAATGATACAAATTATAAAATTTATAGGTGAATTTTAACTCAAAACGTATCTTTGACGCATCAAGCATTGTATATCTTACTTGGAATGTTAAAGCAGGAAATAAACGGATCACCCATAAATCCAGGTTGACATGAACATATTGCATTATGATTGATAACTTCACATCTAGCATTTAGACCACACGAGCCAAGACAGGGGTCCTTGCATTTTCTATTTATGCAAGCTAAGGTAGGTGAACATTCGGCACTAACTGAACATTCGGGACGACATCTTGGTGGAACTCCTATAAAATTGGCTAAACATGTACAAACTGATTGTCCGTTTACAACGCGACATTCGCTATTTGGTCCACACGGTGAAGGATTGCAAGGTTTGCTAATTGCATCTTGAACATCTACAAAATAGTATTAAAACTTATCAAATGTTGTTACATTGTTTATGAGTATTCTAAAGTTGGTATAACTACGTACCCATTTCTATTGGTTTACAAGACGTAAATGGATTGCCAGTGTGCCGGGGATAACAATTACAAATTGGTAAATGATTGATTACTTGACATTCGGCGTTTAATCCGCAAGTTCCAGGACATGGGTCTGTACATTTGGAATTGATGCAAGCTTTATTTGCAGAACAGTCAGAATTTAGAATACATTCGGGCCGACAACCTTCGTAAGGGTTGCCCATATAACCGGGTAAGCAAACACACGAGCCTACTCGATTGAGTTCTTTGCAAATTGCATTTGAACCACAAGGAGATGGATCACATGGTCCTGGTTCAGGAAGTAGCGAGGCTAAAAATATAACAATTGTTAAGAAATGGTTCGAATGAATGGATTTATTAATTTAAATTTATACTTACGCGCTTTATATGTACATTGAGTGAAAGGATCGCCAGTATATTCATTCATGCAGGTGCACATTGGTGTATGACTTACAACATGGCAGTTTGCATTGGAACCACAAGCCCCAATGCATGGGTCTTTACATTTTTGATTAATGCAAGCCAATTGAGTAATGCATTCGTTATTATTAATGCATTCTGGTCTACAATTTGGTGGTGATCCCGAAAATTCAGGAAGACACGAACACGAAGGTGAATTGTTAATTACTTGGCATTGAGAATTAGGGCCACAGGGCGATGGTTGGCACGGATCTATTGGTGGTTGTTGTTCCACTGTATATAAAATATAATTATTTGTGTTATTTAATTAAATTTTGTATAAATGAATGGGAAAAATAAATGACATGAAAAAAACAAATGAAATATATCTTACATAAAACCATACAGCGTACGAAAGGATCACCGGTATAACGCAATGGACAACTACAGATTGGATTATGATTAACAACATTGCATGAAGCTTCTATTCCACAAGATCCAGGACAAGGGTCTACGCATTTTTGATTGTTACAAGCTTCATTTTGTGGACAATCAGTGCTGACTATACACTCTGGTCTACAAGTTGGTGGAATTCCTAAATATCCTTTTATGCATGAACATACAGCTTGTCCATTTACTACACGACATTCACTATTAGGGCCACAAGGTCCAGGGCTGCATGGATTAATAGGAGGTAGACCTAATAAAACAAACAATTGATTATAGTATACATCACTATTTTATCGATCATTTACCGATTAACTGCAATTGATAAATAAGAAAAATAATCGTTAGATCATTTTGGAAAAATACCTTGTACAGGTATGCATTGACTAAATGCATTGCCAGTCATATTTCCAGGACAACTACACATAGGTATATGATTGATAACATTACATAGGGCATTGGCTGCACAAGCTCCCACACATGGATTTATACATTTGTTTCTAGAACAGGCTTGGTCTCGTAAGCAATCTGAATTAAGGACACATTCTGGTCTACATTCTTGATATGGGTTGCCTTGGAAATCTGGTAGACAAGTACAGGTACCGTTGGAACATTTTGCATTTGGACCACATGGCGATGGATTACATAAATCAGCAGGTATAATTGTTGGTGCTAAGGAATTAAAGAATTTTCATCAGGATTATCATTATTTTTCTAATGGTTCTCATATATCATTCGTTTTTTAACATGTAAAAGCTTACGTGTTGCAGGTAATAATCGGCAAAGAGTAAATGGATCTCCGGTGTATCCTGTGGGACACGTACACATTGGAATATGATTAACTACAGCACAAATAGCACCTGAACCACATGAACCAGGACAGGGATCTCTACATTTTGTTTCAAAGCAAGCCTTGTCACTTGCACATTCGGAATTGATGGTACATTCAGGTTTGCAATTTGGTGGTTGTCCAATGTATGTTTCTAAACATGTACATGCAGGTGTACCGCCAATGTTTTTACATTGAGAGAATCGGCCGCAAGGGGATGGCACACAAGGGTCTTTATCAACAACGCTAGGCATTGTTACAGCTGAAAATGATTAAAAAAAAAAAAAAAATAGAAAAAAAATAATTAATACAAATATTCTTTGCAATCATAATATGTAGATTATTGGGAAATCTTACATGGTATTGCTGTGCACACTGTGAAAGGATTACCACTGTATCCAGGTGCACAACTACAAATTGGACTGTGATTGACAACAATACACTTTGTGTTTAATCCACATGGGCTTGGACAAGGGTTGATACATTTGTGATCCTTGCATGCAAGTTGAGACGGACAATCGGAACTAACAACGCATTCGGGTCGACAGCCAGGTGGATTACCAACATAGGTTGGTAAACAGGAACATACCGGTTGACCAGATATATTTTTGCATTGACTATTTGGACCACAAGGTGATGGGGAACAAACATTCTTTTCCTCCATAAATGCTGAGGGAAAAAATGAACATATTGTTTATAGTTTTACTTAATATTTGAAACACATTTTTAACAAGAGAATATAATTAAAACTTACTATCAAGATTACAGAAAGAGAATGGATCACCAGTGTATCCTGGACGACAAGTACAGAATGGTTGATGATTGACAACTGCGCATTCAGCATTTTGACCACACATGCCGGGACAAGGATCTCGACATTTATTTTGTACGCACATCTGATTAGATGGACAATCAGGATTGATAACACATTCAGGTCTACATTCTTCGTACGGGTTACCAATATAATCAGGTGGGCAATAACAAACACCAACTTTATTTTGTTCTTTGCATATGGCATTCGTACCGCAAATACCTTCGGAACAGGGAGATGATTCTGGATGATATACTAAAACAATGAAAAATTATACATGAGAATAAATTATATAAAGTTATATGTCCATATGTGTGTGATTCTACGTATAATTATGATCTTACTTATAAACGAACAGCTGGTATATGGGTCTCCGGTATAACTGTTCGGACATACGCAATGTACAACGTGATGAACAACATGGCATTCTGCATTTGTACCGCACAAACTTGGGCACGGATTTGTACACTTTTGTTTTATGCAAACTTGGTTGGCGGGGCATTCAGAATTAGATATGCACTCGGGTTTACAATTTGGTGGTGAGCCTTTGTATTCGGGAAGGCACGAGCAAGAGGGTGACTCATTGACAACTTGACAGATAGCGTACGGACCACATGGTGATGGTTGACAAGGATTTACAATTGGCTTGTAAACTTCGTCTGTAGGAAGGTATACGTAATTGTTTAAGTGTTATAAAATATAAACTATTGGTGAATAATATCGCATTTCGTTTTGTAAGATTACAAATTGATTGCAGCTTACTTATAATATCGCATTGGATGAAAGGATTTCCTGTATAGCGTTCAGGACAAGAACAAATTGGATTATGGTTGACTACGATACATTTTGCTTGCAAACCACATGTTCCTGGACAGGGATCTTCGCATTTTTGATTTCTACAAACTTGATTTATTCTACAATCCGAATTGATGGTACATTCGGGTCTACACATTGGTGGTGTTCCGAGATAATTAGGTAAGCAAGCGCATACTGCTTGATCATTGAAAGAATGACAAATACTATTGGGACCACATGGTGATGGTTGACACGGTGTTTTAATGGCTGGAGCTACATACATAAAACGAATAAATATAAATAATCTATTCTATGAAGTGAACATTATTTCAATAAATCATTATTAATACCTTTGGTAGTCTGACACAAAATAAGGGCATTACCAGTTGTACCATATGGACAACTACACATTGGAACATGATTAAAGACATTGCAAATAGCATTTTGTCCACATGTCTGAATACAAGGATCTATACATTTGTTTCGAATGCATGCTTTGTTAATTGCACAATCTGAACTTAGCACACATTCAGGTCGGCAACCTACGTAAGGATCACCGTAATATTCGGCTATGCAAACACATGTTTCTTGTTTACATTCACTGTTAGGACCACACGTATTGCAGACATCATTTTCCAATGGGACTTGAGCTATATTATGAAATTATATTGCATTATTATTTTTAAAAAATAAATAAGATGAATAATTTGACATTTAATTCCTTACTGATTGGTTTATATTGACAGCTGACAAATGGATCTCCCGTGTAACTTTCGTAACATGAACAAATTGGTAAATGATTATGAACTGTGCAAACAGCATTGAGACCACAAGATCCAGGACAAGGATCTTGACATTTCTGTTGTATGCAAGCTAAATTACTTGCACAATCGGTTGACGTTGTGCATTCGGGTCTACATTGTGGAGGAGAACCAATATAATTTTGCATACAAGAACAAGATGGTGAATTATTGATGTTACGACAATGCGAATTTGGACCACACGGTGATGGAATGCAAGGATCCTTTTCGGGTTCAAATTGTGGTTTTGCTAAAAGTAACGAATATAGATGATGAAAATTTGTAGAATAATATTATGAATAAATGTTTGATAATAGTAAAATATCGATTGGCTTACGTGATAAGAAAATACAGATAGTAAATGGATCTCCAGTATATCCTGATTTACAAGAACATATGGGATTATGATTGATCACTTTACATGTTGTATAGAGACCGCAAGAATCGAGACAAGGATCAATGCACTTTTTATTTCTACATGCTTGATTAGATGGACAATCAGTACTAATCGTACATTCTGGTCTACAATTAGGTGGTACACCTATGTACGTTGATAAACAACTGCAAGATATTTGTCCGTTGTTTTCTTTACATTGAGAATATGGACCGCATAGATTAGATTGACACGTGTCAACAGAATCTGCCTCTGTAAAGAATTTAAATTGAAGAAGATAGTAAATCAGATTACAAAGTTAAAATATTGATATCCTTACGTGTTGGTAATATGGGATTGCAATTTATAAAAGGATCTCCAGTATATTGTTCAAGGCAAGTACAAGTTGCTGCATGATTGATTACATAACAATTGGCATTCTGTGCACACATTCCGGGACAAGGATCTTTGCACTTCATATTGATACAAGCTCTGTTCGATGGACAATCTGAATTGAGGATACATTCTGGTCTACATCCTTCGTAAGGATTACCAATATATTCTGATAAACAACTACAAGAGCCAATATTTTGTTGCTCACGACATATTGCATTAGCACCGCATGGAGATGGTGTACATGGAGTTTGTTTGTCCGTTTGTACATCAACTAAGATGAAAAGAAATGTTAATGTTTAATCGGATGAAAATTATTATAGGTAGCGTAATAATTATTATTATCTTACATCGTTCTGGTAAACATTGAGTGAATGGATCACCAGTGTAACCAGCTGAACATGCACACATTGGTGTATGACTGACTACGTTACATATGGCATTAGCACCACATGAGCCAATACAAGGATCTCTACATTTTTGATTTATGCACGCCAATCGACTTGAACATTCGGAATTGCTAATACATTCTGGACGACAATTTGGTGGGGATCCATTGAATTCAGGCAAACAAGAGCAAGACGGATTGTCGTTGATTATTTCGCATTTTGCATTTGGACCACATGGAGATGGTAAGCATGGATTTATTGAAATTTCAGGCTTCGTTGCTGATATTAAAAAAAAAAAAATATGTAAATTATATAATAATGATTTTATCACAATACGAATAAATTTAAGTTAAATTGCTTACGAATTGGGGAACAATTGATAAATGGATCACCAGACATTCCTGATAGACATGAACAAATAGGATTGTGATTGATAACATTGCAAATGGTATTGCGACCACAACTTCCAGGACACGGATCGATACATTTTTGATTGCTACAGGCTTCGTTCGGTGCACAATCTGAACTAACGACACATTCTGGTCGACAAGTTGGTGGTGCACCTATGTAGCCCTTAATGCAAGTACACGTTGCATGGAAATTATGTTGTTTGCAAAGACTATTAGGTCCACATGGGGACGGATTACATGGATCACTGATCGTAGGTGCTGTAGAAGTAAATAAATTAGTAATACGAAAAAGAGACCCATAAGTATATAACGACTAAAAAAAAATAAATAAATTTTACCTTGGATAGGGGAACATAAAACAAATGCATTTCCTGACATTCCTAATGGGCAACTGCACATTGGAACGTGATTATAAACTTTGCATAAAGCGTTTTGTCCGCAAGTTTCGATACATGGGTCAATGCATTTATTTCGTACACATGCCTTCAATGAATTACAATCGGTATTTAAAATGCATTCTGGTCGACAACCAGCATATGGATCACCGAAATATTCGTCTAAACAAGTACAGGCACCATCTATACATTTTGCATTAGCTCCACATGGAGATGGTGCACATGGATCAACGTATACAGGTTCGGCTGTAATAATAAATCGCGTTAGGAATATATGTGGTCCAGGACATTATTGTCATGTAAAATTTATCAAAACTTACGTTGTTGAGGATAACATGCTCTAAAGGGATCGCCAGTATAACCATTGATGCAAGAACAAATTGGAATGTGATCGAGAACTTTACATTCTGACATGGTACCGCATGATCCTGGGCAAGGATCTTTACATTTTTGTTGTATACAAGCATTATTCGAAGAACAATCGGAATTACTAGTGCATTCTGGTCGACAGTTTGGTGGACTACCTATGTATGTCGATAAACAAGCACAAGAGGGTAATCCTCCTGTATTTTGACATTCTGCGTAAGGACCACATGGAGATGGAATGCAAGGGTCTCTTAATGCAATATCTTGCTGTGTAGGAACAGTCACTGAAAAAAGGGGATTTTAATTATTATTAATAAAAGTAATTATAGATATATTTCTTGAAGTTCAACTACTAATGAAAGTTACTCACAAGGTATTGGGAAACAAACTGTAAATGGATCGCCAGTATAGCCCATAGAACAGGTGCACAAAGGTGCATGATTAATAACTCTACAATCAGTGTTTAATCCACAAGAGGTTGGACACAAATTCGTACACTTTTGTTTCACGCACGATTGAGTTGTTGGACAATCAGAATTTGATACGCATTCAGGTCTACATGCAGGTGGCCTACCAACATATGTTGGCAAACAAGAACATACAGCAACTTCATTAACTACTCTACATTTACTATTCGGACCACATTCCGCATTATTGCATGGATCTGTCTTGTCTACAGCTGTATCTAAAGTTTAAAAAGAAATTTATGTTTAATAAATGTTTTTTATTGTAATCATTTAATTTGAAAAATTATTAAAGACAAACTTTACCCATTGGTTTTATGAAACAATATCGGTAGGGATCACCGGTGTAAGAAGGAAGACAAGAACACGTTGCAATATGGTTTACAACGTTACAATTCGCATTGCTGCCACAAGTTCCAGGACACGGATCAATGCATTTGGAGTTGGTGCATACTTTGTTTTGTGTACAATCAGAATTAAGAACGCATTCGGGTCTACATCCTTCGTATGGGTTTCCAGTGTAAGTGGATAGACAAGAACACGAGCCTGCGCCATTGCGTTGAACGCATACGGCATTGGAACCACATGGTGATGGTAAACATGGATTTATTTGCATCAAATTGCCTTCGACTACGAACAAATGAAAATTTTGATATCACGGTATTTTAGGAATTTATAAAAGGTCTTTTAATTTATTTTGAAAATGAACTTACTCGGTTTAGTGATACATTGTACAAATGGATCTCCAGTGTATCCAACAGGACAGAAGCACATTGGTGTGTGACTAATTGTTCGACATTCTGCATTGACTCCGCACGAATCAGTGCACGGATCTTTGCATTTTTGATTTATACATGCTTGATGACTAAGACATTCACTATTGCTAACACACTCAGGTCTACATTGTGGTGGAGAACCAATATAATTTGGCAAACAAGAACACGATGGAGAATCATTGATTATTTGACATATGCTGTTCGGCCCGCAAGGTGTTGGTTGACAATGATTCACTTGTACTGGTGGTAATTCCGCTATGATAAAATTATATTGATATAGAAAGACATTTATAACGAATCTATGTGATAATAAATTGATGAATCTTACGGATTGGACTACATCGTACGAATGGATCTCCCGTGTAACGATCCGGACAATAACAAATGGGATTATGATTTTTCACGATGCATTTTGAACCAACACCACAACTTCCGATGCAAGGATTCCTACATTTTTGATTTGTACATGCCTCGTTAGGTGGACATTCTGTACTAACGATACATTCAGGTCTACACATGGGAGGTGTTCCAATGTAACCAGAAACACAACTACATACTGCTTGATCATTACTGATACGACATTGACTATTTGGTCCACAAGGTGATGGTGTACACGGTGAAGTTAAAACAGAAGCTGTAGAAAAAGTAACAATTATGAATAATAAATAATTTTTTAAACATTTTCAAATTTTATCGTATATACCTTGAACGGAATGACAATAAACAAAAGCATTTCCTTCGTAATTAGTTGGACAACTACACATGGGAATGTGATTAATGACGTTGCATAATGCATTGCTTGCACAAGTTCCTATGCAAGGATCTTTGCATTTATTATTAATGCAAGCTTTGTCACGAGAACAATCAGAATTGAGAACACATTCTGGGCGACAACCTGTCGTTGGATCTCCATAATATTCAGGTAAGCATGAACAAATACCATTTTCGCATTGTGTGTTAATACCACACGGGGATGGATTACAGGCGTCTATTTCATCCAATTGGGCTAAAGATAGAAATGTGTGTTGATTAGGATAAATGGTAATACTATTTTCAATATAACTGAACTAGAGTTGCTTACGTGGTGGTTGCTGATGACAACTATTAAATGGATCACCCGTGTATCCATCGAAACAAGAACATATTGGTAAATGATTGAATACCGTACATTGAGCATTAAAACCACAAGATCCTGGACACGGATCCCTGCACTTATTTTGTATGCATGCCTTATTACTTGAACATTCTGAATTAATTGTACATTCAGGTCGACAATTTGGTGGACTACCAAAATAGTTTTGTGAACATGTACAAGAAGGTATTTGGCCAACAGGTTGGCACAAAGAATTCGGGCCACATGGCGATGGTAAACAGGGATCTTGTTGTACATCTGGTACTTTTTCTGGTGAAACTATAATTCAATTGATAGTTTAAATAGAAACATATATAATGTAGATTTTTTAAATGTATTACTTTATATGTACCAGTTAAATAGAAGCAAGCAGTGAAAGGATCTCCAGAATAGCCATTTTTGCAAATGCAAATTGGACTGTGATTGATAACTCGACAATCAGTGTTGATTCCGCATACATTCGAACAAGGATTGATACACTTTTGTTTGATACAAGCTTTGTTTAGTGGACATTCTGTACTGACTATACACTCGGGCCTACAAGCTGGCGGTGAACCAATATAATTCGAAAGACACGAACAAACTGCTTGATTTTCATTTGTACGACATTCACTGTTTGGTCCACAAGGTGATGGATTGCAAGGATCATTTTTCTCAACTACAGCTAAAAATGAAGTAATTGTTTTATACAAAAGAACAATGTTAAATATGTGAAAAAAATTTGAATTAAAAAAAAAATAAAAAAGATTCTTACGATATTCTGTAACAATATTACAGAAACGGAATGGATCTCCTGTGTGTCCTGGTATACACGTACAAGTTGGTGCATGATTTATAACTTGACAAAGGGAATTTTGACCACACGCACCAGGGCAAGGATCTTGACATTTGGATTGTATGCAAGCACGATTAGCAGGACAATCTGAATTTATAACGCATTCTGGTCTACAACCTTCGTAAGGATTGCCTATGTAATTTTGTAAACAAGTACAAGATCCTACTCCTGATTGTTCTTTACATATTGCATTTGCTCCGCAAGGTGATGGTGTACAGGGTGATACTATTGGTTCTATATCTAACAATATGATTGAAAATCAGTACATTATTGTAACAGGTAACATCATTAATACACCATTCGTTTAAAACGAACTTACTTTGAACTGTTGTACATTGAAGGAATGGATCTCCAGTAAATCCTTGACTACATGTACAAGTAGTTATATGATTATTGACATAACATTCTGCGTTTGCACCGCATAAACCTGGACAAGGATCTTTGCATTTTCTATTAATACACGAAAGTCTACTTGGACAATCGCTATTTGTAGTACATTCTGGTCGACATTTAGGTGGTGATCCCAAAAATTCAGGTAGACAAGAACAAGAGGGTTGTTGATTTATGACTTGGCATTGAGCATTTAAACCACATGGGGACGGATAACAAGGATTAACGGAAGCAGTTGTTGTTTCGACTAAAAAAATTTAGAAAATATTACTCGTTAAAATTGATTTTTTAATAATTATTTGAAACCACGAGAGAGAGATGGAAATGATGCTTACCAATTAAATTACATGCAGTGAATGGATCACCTGTATAACCCTGACGACAAGTACAAATCGGATTATGATTTACGACTGAACATTCAGCTTTCAATCCACATGAACCTGGGCATGGGTCTTCGCATTTCTGATTAATGCAAGCTTTAGTTTGATCGCAATCAGAGCTCAAAGTACATTCTGGGCGACACGTTGGTGGATTTCCAATATAATTTGACAAACATTTGCAAACAGCTACTCCATTTATTTCTTGACATTGACTATTTGGCCCGCATGGAGAAGGTACGCAAGGACGAGTTACTGTATCATCTAATAATTAAATTAAAAAACAAGAAGTAGATATAATAATCTAAACTATTGAAGGATCAAAAGGAACAAGTATAAACTTGTGTAACACTTATGAAGATTTTTATACTAGCACATGATTAAAGTCATACCCTGCTGTGGGTTGCATGTAATGAAAGCATTTCCAGTCATTCCTATTGGACAATTGCACATCGGCACATGATTGATTACTTTGCATTCCGCATTGAAACCACATGTTCCTATGCACGGATCGAAACATTTGTTGCGAATGCATGCCTTGTCTCGTGGACATTCTGCGTTGGATATACATTCTGGTCGACAACCGATATATGGATCACCTTCGTATTCAGATATACACGTACAAGTGCCATCCAAACAATTAGTGTTTGGTCCACATGGTGAAGGATTGCAAGAATCGACAGATTCTACGGCTACGTAAATGAATTATTCGTTAAAATTATAAAACTATTCAACAAATATGAAATAAATTTATGAATTAGTTAAGGTATTATTCTTACGTGTTGATTGTTTTAAAGTACAAATACTAAATGGATCACCGGTATATCCTTCGGGACAAGTGCAAATCGGTATATGATTTACTACAGCACAATTAGCATTAACTCCGCATGAACCTGGACATGGGTCTGAACATTTGCTACGTATGCAAGCAAAATTACTAGAACACTCGGAATGTATAGTACATTCTGGTCTACAATTAGGTGGAGTTCCAATAAATGTGGCTAAACAAGAGCAAGATGGATTGCCTCTAATACTACGACATTCCGAATATGGTCCACATGGTGATGAGAGACATGGATCTTGTTGAATTGATGTTTGTGGTTGCTCTAATGGTCCTATTTGATTAACAAGAAAATATGAAATATCTATCTTTCTATTTTACTTAAATATCAAATATTATTTTGATACTAACGTGGAAGTTGGAAACAAATTGTGAACGGGTCTCCGGTAAATCCTGATTGACAAGAACACAATGGACTATGATTGATGACTTTACACATTGAATTCTTGCCACAAGAATTTGGACACGGATCGATACATTTACGATTGACGCATGCACGATTAGGAGCACATTCTGTACTAGCAACACATTCTGGTCTACATCCAGGTGGTGAACCAACATATTCTGCTAAACAAGTACAAACTGCTTGACCATTATTTTCTCGGCATAAACTATTCGGTCCACATGGAGATGGTTGACAAGGATTACTTATATCCGACGAAAGTTCTATTGTAATAAAATAGGATAAGATTGTAGATTTTCAAACAAACTTATTAATATCGTTCAGAAAAACTAATACAATACCTGTTATCGGCTCTTCGGAACAATATCTGAATGGATCACCAGTATATTTGGGAATGCATGTACACATTGCTATATGATTAACAACTTGGCAAATAGCATTCTGACCACAAGTACCAGGACAAGGATCTTGACAACGTGATTTAACACATGCTTTGCTTGGTATGCAATCTGAATTAATGGTACATTCAGGACGACACCCTTCGTAAGGATTGCCGATATAATTTGATAAACATGAACAAGAACCTACACCATTTCTTTCTTTACAAATCGCATTAGCCCCACAGGGAGATGGAACACAAACTTGTGGCATGTACATTGGTATTTCTGTAAAAATTAAAATCTGTCTCAAAACAAATTCTGTAAACATTTATAAAAAAAAAAAGTAGAATATACAAAAATTGTGTTCATAATCCTTACGTGGTTGAACAATGTCGATACATTGAGTGAAAGGATCACCGGTATAACCAACCATACAAGTACACATTGGTGTATGGGATACTGTACGACATTCGGAATTAGCTCCACACGATCCAGGACATGGATCCGTGCATTTTTGATTGATACATGCAAGATTGTTATTGCATTCGTTATTGCTCACACATTCTGGTCTACAATTTGGTGGAGTACCAATAAATTCTGGCAAACAGGAACACGATGGGGTGTCGTTAATTACTTGACACTGAGCATTTGGACCACATGGGGATGGCGTGCAAGGATTTTTTTGTACTATCGTTGTTTCAGCTAAAATTTGATAATATTCCAATAATTTTCTACTTCTTTTCGTGTTATTGATTAAAGTAATAAAATAAATTAGAATCAATATATAAGTAGACAATTTAAAAAGCTTACGTTTTGGTATACATCTAACGAAAGGATCACCGCTTAAACTAGTTGGACAACTGCAAATTGGATTATGATTGACCACTTGACAAATAGCTTTGATACCACAAGTACCAATGCAAGGATTTCTACACTTCTGATTAATACAAGCTTCACTAGGACTACAATCTGTACTGGTTATACACTCTGGCCTGCAGGTAGGTGGGCTTCCCAAAAATCCAGAAAGACAAGTACAAACTGCCTGACCATTAATTTCACGACACTGACTATTCGGTCCACATGGTGTTGGATTACAAGGATTACTTACAACAGGATCTATTTATAAAAAAGATATCGAACAATTTTGATAAGTGAATACTTTGGTAAATTTTGAAAATTAAACAAGGATAAATAAATCTATGCCAACCTCTGAATGGTAAACAGGATAAAAATGCATTTCCTGTCATACCGATTGGACAAGTACACATTGGTATATGATTGTAAACATTGCAAAGTGCATTCTGACCACAAGTACCGATACAAGGATCAACACATTTGTTTCTCAAACATGCTTTATCCAAAGAACAATCTGCATTAAGAACACATTCCGGTCGACAACCCACGTAAGGGTCTCCTTGATATTCTGCCAAACAAGTGCATTTTCCTTCATTGCAGTTCGTATTTGGACCACATGGTGAAGGATTGCACAAATCGGCTGGTAAACTTGCTACAATAATATGAATACATGTATTCGATATGAAAAATAAAGTGTAACAATTATTTCAAATATATCATCCTTACGTGTTGGTGGTTGCAATACGCAATTACTAAATGGATCTCCTGTGTAACCATCTGGACAAGTACAAATGGGAATATGATTGAAAACTGAACACTGAGCGAATGTACCACAAGAACCAGGACATGGGTCCAAACATTTTTCCCTTATGCAAGATTTGTCACTTGGACAATCAGAATTAATAACACATTCTGGTCGACAATAAGGTGGAGTACCAATGTATGTTGGTAAACAGGAACAAGAAGGTGTTCCGGCACTATTTCGACATTCGGAATATGGTCCGCATGGTGATGGTATACATGGGTTCGTTGGTAATGCAACTGGCGAAGCTGTAAAGCAATTCAATTCTATGTTTCCAATCTATAAATTCAATTCTAATGATTAGGAATTATTTTTGATTATTAAACTTACGTAAGTTAGGGAAACATCTTGTAAGTGGATCACCGGTAAGTCCACTTTTACATGTACAAATAGGATTATGATTGATAACCGAACAATCTGCATTTTGTCCACATGCTTTAGCACATGGATTGATGCATTTTTTGTTTACGCAAGCTTTATTGAAAGGACATTCAGAACTCATAACGCATTCTGGTCGACACGAAGGTGGAGTTCCGCTATATTCAGGAAGACACGAGCAAACAACGTTGTTTGAAATGACACGACATTGACTATTCGGACCACAAGGAGATGGATCACATGGATTTGTGTGATCTTCTTCTATAAATGGAAATAAAATATTATTTAATTTTTTGTATATACTAAATTATTCATAAATTAAGTCGTATAATAAAAATGTTACCCTTTTCTTGAACTTGTTGACAATAACGGAACGGATCTCCGGTAAATCCAGGTACGCAAGTACAAGTAGGCAAATGATTTATAACTTGACAATTGGCATTTGATCCACAAGTTCCAGGACATGGGTTTTGACACTTGGATCTTATACAACCGAGATTTGATGGGCAATCGGAATTAATTATACACTCGGGTCGACATCCTTCGTATGGATTGCCAATAAATTCTGGTAAACATGTACACGAACCGACACCGTTTTGTTCCTTGCAAATGGCATTCGAACCGCACGGTGATGGCGTGCAGGGAGAGGTAGGTATAACTAAAGAAAACGTTGATACATAAAGTAACACATACTTCTGTGAATCTAATGAAAAGAGTCATAGTAAAATATGATTTTCTTACGTGGTTGTATGTTACATTGTATGAATGGATCTCCAGTATAACCCTCAGAACAAGCACACATTGGTGTATGACTTACAACTCGACATTCTGCATTAGGCCCACAAGAGCCAGGACAAGGATCTTTACATTTTTGATTTATGCAAGCTAATTTACTCGAACATTCAGCATTGCTGATACATTCAGGACGACAATTTGGCGGAGATCCTATGTGTTCTTCCATACAGGCGCAGGATGAGGAATTATTGATTACTTGACACAATGCATTCAAACCACACGGTGATGGTTTGCATGGGTTTATGAAAACTTGAGGTGTTTCCACTAAAAAAAAAATTATACAAAACTGTACTAGTAATTTGATTATCACAACTGGGTATTAATCAATGTGAGGAAGTATCATATAAAATATCTTACATATAGGATCACATCTTACGAATGGGTCACCAGACAAATTTGGTAGACAACTACAAATGGGATTATGATTTACTACACGACATTGTGCACCAATTCCACATGTACCGATGCAAGGATTGATACATTGTAAATTACTGCAAGCTTTATCCTTATCACAATCAGAACTAACGATACACTCGGGTCGACAAGATGGTGGACTTCCTTTATATCCAGGAACACAAGAACAAACAGCTTGTCCATTTATCGTTCGACAATAACTATTTGGACCACATGGTGATGGATTACATGGATTATCTGTGACTGTGGGTTCTAAAAATAATAAATGTTGCAATTATTAATGAGTGAACCTATCAATCTTCTCGATCAATGAAAAAATGTAATGAATGAATCTACCTTTAACAGGTAGGCAGATGACAAAAGCATTTCCACTTGTGTTAGGTGTACAACTGCACATAGGAATGTGGTTGTAGACTGTACAGATAGCATTTTGACCACACGTACCAATACAAGGATTGACGCATTTGTTACGTACGCATGCTTTATCAGTTGGACAATCTGTGTTTAAAACACATTCTGGACGACACGCGATATAAGGATTACCACGATATTCTGTTAAACATGAACAAACACCATTGTTGCATTCTGCATTTGCTCCGCATGGCGAAGGATTACATTTATCCTCGGAAATTTGTTCGTATTCTGTAATAAAAAATATTGATGTATATCCTAGAAATATGATCAAACGAATGAAAATCTTGTTGATAAATCAAAATGAATTCTTACGTGGTGTAATCTTTGGATAACAATTGGTATATGGATCACCAGTAAATCCATGTGAACAACTACATGCAGGGATATGATTGAAAACGTTACATTCTGCATTATTTCCGCATGATCCTGGGCATGGATTTTTACATTTTTGTCTGATACAAGCTTTGTCGGTGGAACAATCTGAATGTATAGTACATTCAGCACGACAATTAGGTGGACTACCGATATAATCTTGTAAACAAGAACATGACGATAAACCACCAATATCGCGACATTCGGAATATGGTCCACATGGTGATGGAATACATGGATTCGAAATGGACATTGATGTGATAATTGGTTCTGGAAGAAATTGAAAGATAAATATACGTGTGTAATTAAATGATTTTTCATAAACTTATCAAAAGTTGTCTTACGTTGCATCGGGTAACATTGAGTAAATGGATCTCCTGTAAACGATTGTTTACATGCACATATGGGACTATGATGAATGACATTACAGTCGGTATTTAAACCACAAGGACCTGGACATGGATTAATGCATTTTTGATTCACACATGCTTGCTTCAAAGGACACTCAGAACTTCCAACACATTCTGGTCTACATCCTGGTGGACTACCAATGTATTCAGGCAAACATGAACAAACTGCTTGATCGTTAATAACTCGGCATTGACTGTTTGGTCCACAGGGTGATGGAGAACAAGGATTTGATGGTTTATACGGTTCTAAAGTTGAACGATAAAAATTGTAAGAATTTGAAAATATAATTTAGGTAACAATTCAAAGGTATATTATTACCATTTTGTATTAAAGAACAGAATTCATAAGGTTGACCAGTATAACCAGCGAAACAAGAACAGGACGGCAAATGATTGACAACTTGACATTCAGCATTAGTTCCACATGCACCAGGGCAAGGGTCACGACATTTTGATCCGATGCAAGAAAGGGTAGGTGGACAGTCAGAATTCATGACACATTCTGGACGACAACCTTCGTAAGGGTTGCCTATATAATTTGGTAAACAGGTACAAGAACCTACTCCTGATTGTTCTTTGCAAATTGCATTTGATCCGCATGGTGATGGTACGCATGGGGTTGGTGCGATAGATGGCACATCAACTAAAATATTTTGAAAAATGATGTAAACGTAATAAAAATATATCTAACTATAATAATGAAAAAGCTTTAATAATGTTTTCTTACGTTGTTTTTCAACACACTGAACGAAAGGATCTCCGGTATATCCAACAAGACAAACACACATAGCTGTGTGACTTACTACACGACACTCTGCGTTCATACCACATGAACCAGGACATGGATCTTTGCATTTGAAATTGATACATGCCAAATTATTGGCGCATTCGTTATTACTGATACACATGGGTTTACACATCGGTGGAACTCCAACGAAATCAGGCAAACAAGAACAGGAAGGAGAATCATTAATTACATTGCATAACGCATTAGGTCCGCAGGGTGATGGTTGACACGGATTTAAAGGTTTTTCTGGTACTTCAGCTAAAATAATTCAATTATATATGTTAATATTATATATTGTTTTTAAAAAAGTAATGTAATTGCAAGGGTTAATAATATTCTTACGTTTTGGTTCGCATCTTACGAAAGGATCACCGATGAAACCTTGAGAACAACTACAAATTGGATTATGATTTATTACTTGACACGTTGCCTTTATTCCGCATGTTCCTGGACAAGGATTTATGCACTTCTGATTACTACAAGCTCGATCTTTTGTACAATCTGAACTAACGATACATTCTGGTCTACAAGATGGTGGCATTCCAATATAATTACTAATACAGGAACAAACTGGTTGATTATTTATTACACGACAATGACTATTTGGTCCACATGGTGATGGATTACAAGGATCCTCCGGTCCTACAATATGGTCATGTTATTATAATAAACAATATATACGTTTAATATCCTTTTATAAATTATTCTATATACCTGTTATTAGAGGGTTACAAGAAACGAATGCATTTCCTGTCATACCGGAAGGACAACTACACATAGGCATATGATTGTAAATATTACATTGTGCATTTTGACCACAAGTACCCGGACAAGGATCTATGCATTTGTTTCGTACGCATGCTTTGGATGCATCACAATCTGCATTAAGTATGCATTCAGGTTTACAACCAATGTATGGATCTCCTTGATATTCAGGTAAACATTTACATTGTCCATTGGTACAAATTGCATTTGGACCACAGGGGGTTGTGGAACAAGGATCTGCTTCTAATTGTGGTTTTTCTTCGGCTACAATTAAAATACTTGTTACTAAGTATCCATTTTTGGTACACTATTGTAAATTTAGAAACATAACTAAATAGCTTACGTTTGAAATAACAATTATTGAATGGATCACCGGTGTAATCATTTGGACAAGAACACGAAGGTGTATGATTGATGACCGTACAAATGGCTGAAATACCGCAGGATCCGAGACAAGGATCCTGACATTTTTCGTTAATGCATGCCTTGTCACTAGCACAATCAGAATGAATGGTACATTCGGGTCTACAATTTGGTGGACTACCGATGTAATTTGAAAGACATGAACACGAAGGTATAGTACCAATTTCGCGACATTGCGCATACGGTCCACAAGGTGAAGGGAAACATGGATTCTGTGGTTTTGGTGGATTAATGGACGGTGCTAAAAATAATAATAATAATCAGAATTATTCTATACCGATAGAAATATAGAAACAACAAATATCTAACTGTAAATGGTATCTTACTTGACAAAAGGAAACATCTCGTGAAAGGATCTCCTGTATATCCTTGTTTGCACGTACAAATTGGGCTGTGATTTAATGCAGCACAATTCGTATTTGTACCACAAGGTTTTGGGCAAGGATCGATACATTTTTGATTAACGCAAGCTCTGTTAAATGGACATTCCGAATTCATGACACATTCTGGACGACATCCTGGAGGACTTCCTAAGTATCCCAATAAACAAGTACAAACTGCTTGATCGTTTATTTCACGACACTGACTGTTCGGACCACACGGGGATGGTTTGCATGGTTCTTTTTTAACCGTATCTATCGATGCAGAAAAATTTGTGATAATATTGAAATTATTGTTGATTTTGTTAACTGTTATTATTAAATGTTTAATAACTGATAGATTTATATTACCGATTTGCAAAATTGGAGAACAATATTGGAACGGGTTTCCTGTATATCCAAGAATACACGTACACGCGGGTAAATGATTAATCACATTACACATCGTATTTTGTCCACATGCACCAGGACATGGATTCTGACATTTTGTTCTAACGCATGCGAGATCAGATGTACAATCAGAATTAAGAACACATTCTGGACGACAACCTTCGTACGGATTTCCAATATATCCTGATAAACATGTGCAAGAACCAGCACCATTTTGTTCTTTACAAACGGTATTTGGTCCACATGGTGACGGTATGCAAGATGTGACACGATCATTCAATGATGCTACAGATTAAATAATATTAAAATTTATATAAAAAAAAATTCTACTTAAAAGGATATTATTTTTTAATGTACAAAAAATCTTACGTTCTTTGAAGACACACTGAGTAAATGGATCACCACTATATCCAGTGTGACAAACACACATAGGTGTATGACTCACAACACGACAATCTGCGTTGGTACCGCAAGAACCTGGACAAGGATCTTTGCATTTTTGATTAATGCAAGCAAGATTATTGTTACATTCGCTATTGCTGATACATTCAGGTCTACAATTCGGCGGTGATCCAATAAATTCGGGAAGACAAGAACATGAAGGTAAATCGTTTACAACCTGACATTGAGAATTTGGACCACAAACCGATGATTGACATGGATTCGTTGGTACTTTTACTGGTTCTTCAACTATTTCGAAAGAAATTATATCAAATATTAAAACAAATCAGAAATATTTAGAAAAAGATATTTTAGTCTGAAGATGTTAAAGTTTTCATACTTATTAAAGTGCATCTTGAAAATGGATCTCCTGTATGTCCTGGCAGACAACTACATATTGGATTGTGATTGACAACTTGACACTTTGTTCTAATGCCACAACTACCTAGACAAGGATCTATACATTTCTGATTACTGCAAGCTAAATTTCTTGGACAATCTGAACTGAGAACACATTCGGGTCTGCACGATGGTGGACTTCCTAAATATCCTTGAACGCATGAACATACTGCTTGATTATTAATAACTCGACATTGACTGTTTGGACCACAAGGTGATGGTTTGCAAGGATCTCTTTCAATATCTATATGTGTTGAAAATAATTGAAATGTTAATTTAAAAAAAACTTGTTTATAGAAAGTAAATGAAATAGAAACTATTATTTATAATAAATTTGGATGAAAACATACCTAACATAACTGAACAAAGGACAAAAGCATTTCCTGACATTCTTTCTGGACAACTACACATAGGTATGTGATTGTACACATTACAGATTGCATTCTGTCCACATGTACCAGGACAAGGATCAGTACATTTATTACGAATGCAAGATTTATCAAAGGGACAGTCATTATTCAGAACACATTCAGGTCTACAGAGAGTGTATGGGTCTCCTTGATAATCCAATAAACAAGTACATATACCATTATTACATTCTGCATTTGTTCCACAAGGTGTAGGATTGCAAGGATCAACTTGTGTGTCCTCAATTGCTATAGATAATAATTAATAGAAATTATATCAATCTCGATTTAAAATAAATACAATGTTTTTTCCATTAACGTTATATCCACTTACGTTGGATCGGCATTGGTTGGCAATTACTAAAAGGATCACCCGTGAAACCATTGGGACAGGTACATACTGGCGTATGATTGATCACATCGCAAATAGCACCCAATCCACACGAACCGGGACAAGGATCTCTACATTTTTCTTGCATGCATGCTCTGTCACTTGTACATTCGGAATTAATCGTGCATTCTGGTTTACAATTCGGTGGGCTTCCTATGTAATTTGTAGAGCATGCACATGATGGGAAACCTCCAATATCGCGGCATTCCGAATATGGGCCACATGGGGATGGTACACATGGGTTTTGAATCGGTGTCGTTACAATTGGATTCTCTGAAAAGATTTCTTATGAATTGGCTATCTATTCAAAATATTAAAATATATGGTTTTTCTATTAACATTTATGGTGTATCAGTTGGTTACAATAATAAATGTAATTTATGTAAAAAAAAAAAACAAAAATTATAATCTTACTTGGCATGGGGAAGCAAACTGTGAAAGGATCACCAGTGAATTCGTTCTTACAAGCACAAATTGGGCTATGGCTAACAATTTTACAAATTGTATTAACGCCACAAGTACCAATGCAGGGATCCACACATTTTTTATTTTTACATGCTTGATTTAGAGAACACTCTGAACTCATGACACATTCTGGTCTACAACTTGGTGGAGTACCAACATATTCAGGAAGGCATGAACAAACTGCTTGACTGTTTATCACACGGCATTGACTATTGGGCCCACAAGGGGAAGGATTACATGGTTCTTTGACAACAATTGCTAAAAAGAAAATATTGAATCGTTAAGAATTTGACAAATTTATAAAAAAAAAAAAGAAACAATCGCATGAATGCAAAAGACAATATTTGAATGAACTTACGAGTTGGCGGCTGGGGATGGCAATAATTAAATGGATCACCCGTAAATCCAGATATGCAAGTGCAACTTGGCAAATGACTAATGACACTACATTCAGCGTTTTGACCGCATGTACCAGGACAAGGATTTTGACATTTAGATCTTATACAAGCTAAATTTGACGAACAATCCGAATTGATCGTACATTCTGGACGACAACCTTCGTAAGGATTTCCGATATAATTATTTACACATGTACAAGATCCTACACCATTTTGTTCCTTGCATATAGCATTGGAACCACATGGTGATGGTAAACATGGAGATAATGGTTCTGGTTGAATATCAGCTAAAGAAAAAATGATACATAAATGATTGAAAAAGAAGATTTTTGCAAGAAAATAAATGATCCAATTCTTACGTTGTTTTTGTATGCATTCTGTAAACGGATCACCGGTGTATCCTATTTGACAAGCGCACATAGCTGTATGACTAACTACGCGACATTCTGTATTGGAACCACAGAAATCTTGACAAGGATCTTGACATTTGCGATTAATACAAGCCAAAGAGCTAGCACATTCGCTATTGCTAACACACTCTGGTCTACAATTAGGTGGTGATCCTATGAAACCAGGTTGACAAGCACACGAAGATTTACCATTGATCGTATGATAAAGAGAATTAGGACCACATTGACAGGATGGGCATTCATCTTCCGGTGGTAACGGAGAAGTAACTAATGAAAGAGGAAATACTACGTGATCATTTTGTTCATCTTATTAATCATCTTCATTAAAGAGCTTTGTTCTTATCGTTTAATTAGTAATTGCAAAAATCATTCAACAAAATGTTACTTCTGCTCTTTAATCAAGCGATTATAATTTTTAACGTAAAGTACAATATCCTTACTGATTGGTTCGCATCTAGTAAATGGATCACCCGTATAGTCTGGAGGACAATTACAAACAGGATTGTGATTAATAACTTGACAATTGACATTAAGACCACAGGTTCCTGCACATGGGTCAATACACTTCTGATTACTACATGCTTGATTTCTTGGACAATCTGAACTAACTGTACATTCAGGTCTACATGTTGGCGGACTTCCAAGATAGCCTGGCACACAAGAACAGACTGCTTGACCGTTCATAGGTCTACATCGACTATTAGGACCACATGGGGATGGGCTACATGGATTTAATGATGCTGGTTCTAACGTAATATAAAGTATAAATTAATGAAGATATAAAAAAAAATCATCCTAAAATTATCTATCTTTTTTTTATATGACATACCTTTAACAAAATCACACGATATGAATGCATTACCACTCATTTTTGATGGACAACTGCAAATAGGAATGTGATTAAAGGTATTGCAGATGGCATTTCGTCCACAGATTCCTGGGCAAGGATCTATGCATTTATTTCGAACGCATGCACTGGTCGTAGGACAATCACTATTAAGAACACATTCTGGTCGGCAACTGACATAGGGATCTCCTTGATAATTTTCCAAACAAGTGCATATACCGTCATTGCATAAAGCATTTGGTCCGCAAGGTGTTGGATTACATGGATCTTTAACTGGTGATGGCACTGAAAAATGTTTTATTCATTGCAATAATGTTGAACCATATTGTTATATGGTATTTATAGAAATTAAAAGAACAAATATTTAATATTCTTACAAGGTGCTGGAGATGGATAACAATTTGAAAATGGATCTCCTGTATAGTCTTGAAGGCATGTACACATTGGAATATGATTAACAACTGTACATTGTGTTCCTATTCCACAAGAACCTAAGCAAGGATCAACGCAACGTTGTTTAATACAAGCTTTGTTGCTCGAACAATCTGAATTCACTGTACATTCTGGTCTACAATTAGGAGGACTTCCAATATAAGTGGGTGAACATTGACAAGAAGGGCCTCCGTTAATAACGCGACATTCTGAGTAAGGGCCACACGGTGATGGTAAACATGGCTCAGGATTATATATAGGTGATGGCAAAGATTCTAAAAAATATTATTTAATAATTTAAAAAAAGTTTCTGCCGCTGTATTTATCATCAATGATTTTAATTGATATGTTCTTACGTGGTAAGGGGAAACATCTCGTGAATGGGTCTCCAGTAAAACCTTGCTGACAAGCACAAATTGGACTGTGATTGATGACATTACAAGTAGCTGCAGTACCACAAGTATTCAAACAAGGATCTACACATTTTTGATTAGTGCAGGCACGATTTGCCGGACATTCTGAATTGATGACACACTGAGGACGACAATTTGGAGGGCTACCAATATATTCCGGTAAGCAAGAACATATTCCTTGCTGATTAACAGATCGACAACGACTATTTGGTCCACAAGGTGAAGGATCGCATGGATCTTTGTATTCTATTTCTTGATCTATAAAATTGAAATAAAAGATCCTATATCTCGTGATACATTCATGATTAATCAAACAAATATTCAGTAACTAAAAAAAAAAAATATTTACCGAATTTGATACAATAATGGAAAGGATTTCCGGTGTATCCTGAGATACAAGTGCAAGAAGGATGATGATTAATCACTTGACATTCGGCAAATTGACCACAAGTGCCTGGACAAGGATTCTGACATTTGGATTGTATACAAGTGAGACTTGGTGAACAATCTGTATCAACTACACATTCTGGTCGGCAACCTTCGTAAGGATTACCAATGTAATCTGGTAGACAAGAACAAGAACCTACACCGTCTCGTTCTTTACAGATTGCATTGTAACTACAAGGTGATGGTTCGCATGGTGATAATTCAGGTTTAACTACTGCAAAATGATCATCGATTATTCTTTTCCTATCTGATAATAAAAGAGAACGAGTTTGTAAAAAATATCGAATTAGAAACAAACTTACGTGTATCTTTAGTACACTGAATAAATGGATCTCCTGTATAATCGACTGAACAAACGCACATTGGCGTATGACTGACTACGCGACATTCTGCATTTATTCCGCAAGAATCGATACAAGGATCTCTACATTTTCGTCCGATACATGCTAAATTACTCGAACATTCGCTATTACTGATACATTCTGGTCTACAATTAGGTGGAGAACCTATAAATTCTGGTAAACAGGCACAAGATGGGGCATCGTTTATCACTTGGCATACAGCATTAGCACCACAAGGAGATGGTTGACACGGATTTTCTGGTATAACAGGTTCTGGTGCTAAAGAAAAAATATGATTATTGTTAACGTCATTCTCAAATTGAAATACATTGATCTGCCTGATTTCTATTTCAGTAATGTGAAAGTGTCTTACGTTTTATAAGACATTGTACAAATGGATCACCAGTCATCTCTGGTGGACAACTACAAAGAGGGTTGTGATTGACCACATGACAGATTGCTTTAAAACCACAAGAACCAAGACAAGGATTGATACATTTTTGATTGTTGCAAGCTTCCGTTAATTGACAATCAGAACTAATGGTACACTCTGGTCTGCATGCAGGTGGTGCACCAAGAAATCCTGACACGCATGAACAAACAGCTTGTTGTCTGATTTCACGACAAACACTATTGGGACCGCATGGTGAAGGCACGCAAGGATTCTGCTTAACTGGATCTATTTTCAATTTGTCAAAGTATTTATATTAATTGTAAAAAAGTGTTTACGTGAATTTCAGTTAGTTTGAAGATAATTCGAAGTACAATACCTTCAAGAATAAAACAACGCACGAAAGCATTTCCGACCATACTAGATGGACAACTACACATGGGAATATGATTGTATGCAACACATTGTGCATTTTGACCACAAACTCCTGGACATGGATCGACACATTTGTTTCGTATGCAAGCACGATTTTGTGGACAATCGTTATTTAATGTACATTCAGGGCGGCAACCAATGTAAGGGTCGCCTTGATATTCCGCTAAACATTTGCAAATACCATCGTTGCATTCGGTATTTGGTCCACATACAGTTGTTGTACAAAGATCAGTGATACTGGGTTCTGCTGTAAATGTGTAATACGTTTTTTCACTTAGGATTTGAACCTAAAATCGATCCAAATATTGCTATGTATATTTTTTAATTTGAATCTTACTTGTTATTGTTGGACTAGGATAACAATTATTGAAAGGATCTCCGGTAAATCCTTCAGGACAGAGACACATTGCTATGTGATTGTAAACGTTACAAAGAGAAGTAATACCGCAAGATCCTGAACAAGGATCTTTGCATTTTTCTTGAATGCAAGCAAGATTTTTAGGACAATCATAATTGACACGACATTCCGGTCTACAATTGGGTGGGGATCCAATGTAATTTGGTAAACACGAACAGGATGCCGTACCACCGATATTTCTGCATTCCGCATACATTCCACAAGGAGATGGTATGCATGGTTCTTTTGGTATTATTTCATCTCGTGGAATTTCGACTGAAATTTTAGCGACAAAATATCGATATTATAGTAATCGTTTTATAAATGTAACTAATTAATGTAAAAATGTTCATGTCACCCGACATTGTTTCTCTTACATGGAGCAGGGAAACATTTGGTGAATGGATCTCCAGTATAACCAGAATTGCAACTACAAATGGGACTATGATTGATAACTCTGCATTGAGTATTAATTCCACAAGTATCTATGCAAGGTGATGCACATTTTTGATTAATGCATGCTAATTCCTTCGAACATTCACTGTTAACGGTACATTCTGGGCGACAGTTTGGTGGGGTGCCAATATAATTTGGGAGACAAGTACACACAGCATGATCATTTATATTTCTGCATTTGCTGTTTGATCCACAAGGTGATGGACTGCATGGATTTGATTCTGATAGGCTTGCTGTATGGAAAACATAGTAAATCATCATCAATTATAAATGAAATCACTTAATCGAAATGATGTGACTTATTTCTCTTGACAATGCTTCTTACACTTTTTTTTTTAATAACAAGTGGATTGAAATAATCTAAAAGAAAAATTAGTTAATTCAAACTATAAAGTGTAAGAAACATAAATATAACTGCGATAATATAGTGCTTCCTTTTTTTACTTCTAATGTGAAGTAAAGTATATTGAAGCAAAATGTTTTGTGTACGGCTGTAAATTGTCTTTTTATAGAACTACATAGGAAATATTGCTTACGGGTTGTGATTTCTAAGGTACAGTGCCTGAATGGGTCTCCGGTATATCCTGGATTACAGGTACAAGTGGGCAGATGATTAATAGGGTAGCATTTGGCATTTGATCCACAGGTTCCTGGGCACGGGTCTCTGCATTTCAGGGTCATACAGGCCATTGTAGAAGGACAATCGGAATTTTGAGTACATTCGGGTCTACATCCTTGGTAAGGGTCACCTAAGTAGTCCGGTATACAGGAACATGAGCCGGCGCCGTTATTCTCACGACAGATCGCATTAGCGCCACATGGGGAAGGCTCACATGGTTTCCTGATATCTAACGGGGTGTCTATGGGAAAGAGAAACTTTACGTCAATTTAAATAAAACATGCAACGACATGAACACATGTTTGAAGCGCTTGTGCAAAATGGCGTTGAACGGAGAAGGCGTTGGTGGTTGTTTTATAACGTGTTGGATTTTTTGTTTTTGTTTATTATATTCAGCTGTGCATTTTTCTTAGCTATTGGCAAATGTTGAAGAAGCAAAACATTAATTCTAATTATAAATATTTCGTTGGGTAGCTTCGTGTGGTAGGGTCAGTGATCGATTATTTTGCTGTTGAATATTTTTGTTTAGTAAGCTTTTTAATCTTATCGCTTGTGGTTAATACATCAAGCGTGGGTTCCAGATTAATTTCAATTCTAGAAACACATTCATACTTATTTGATCAGTTTTTTCTTGGTCGACTTTTTCTATAGGGTGTTTGCATAGTTATTTCAGGGTTACGTTGTTATGTTAAGGGGAAAGTGCATTCGATGAGTATCTTAAAAATATACGTGGTTTTTTATCAGTACGCTCTATCAGAGGTTGTCAATGAGGGCGGTGTTGATCTTTGGGTTATGGGAAAAACGCTTATGGGCATGTCATTCTTTGTTATGGGGGTTTCATGAGGGATGAGTGCATTTAAGAGCCTAATGTTTCTAGGCCCCGCCACCATTATTCGTCATATCATATTTCGCATTTGTTCTTATTGAAAAGAAATATTGCGTAAATTGCAATTGAATAAATAAAACGTGCGAAATATTATATATTGGTTGATTAATCGCAAGGACTTATGGGAATCGCACAACCATTTCAATTTTATGATTTGTGCAGTAAAAGCTTAACTTAAATGAATGCCACGGTTATATTAATATGTCATCGCTATTATTATTATTAATATGGCATTTGGAAAAAATCATCATCTTTTTTCGAAGATTTTCGAAAACTTCTTTTTCATCACAATTATTCATTGCAAATTTTTCTTGCGTACAGAAGCGAAGCACTTACCTGTGTTGAAGTGTAGAAATTGGTAAAATATTAAAAAATATAATTATAGAAATATATAAAATATTTCTAATACTGTTCAAGAATAAATAATAAATAAATAAAAAAAGAAGTAAAACGTTCAAAAAAGCAATTTTCAAGAGAATGAGACAAGTGCTTAATATCAGGAGGAGGATAATTCATCATATAATATTATTTTTAGTTTTTTTGTAATTATTTATTTAATAATTATAAAAATTTGCGCCAGTATAGATGCAATCCTCCAAACACACTTGAGAATGTTGCTTACGAGCACCATCCGTTGGGACGGAATTTTTTTCTGCCCGAAAGATAGGCAACCCGTAATACATACGTGTATGAACAGTTTGGACTGAAAAAAAATTCCGTCCCAACAGATGACGCTCGCAAGCAACATTTTCAAGTGTGTCTGGTGGGTTGCATTCCTACAGGCGTAATATTTTTATAAATTATGATAAAAATTTAACTTTAATTTTGTAATTAATACTCTTTTTAGTATGCAATTGCACACACATATAGAATAGGAAAAACTGTATACTATATTCTATCTCATTCATCGAGTTTCTTTATTTTGTTTGTCTATTTGACCGTTTTCAAATCATCCCCATTCTAAACAAGTTTTCAATTCAAAAATATTTCAATAATTGTACAATATATAAATCTTCAATTTTCTAATATTTTTCTCATTACGTTTCATTAGTGAAAATAATATTTTACCAAATCTACTTCTTCGTCAAACAATAATGCAAGCGTTATAAAAATATAATAATTGTACTCACCCTTGAGAGCAGGTTCACAAACGCTGAATGCATTTCCAGAGAAACCAGCTAGACACGTACAAACCGCGTGATGATTAACCACAGAACACTGAGCATTTACACCACACAAACCAACACACGGATCACGACACTTTTGTTGTATGCACGCTAAATGAGCTGGACATTCTGGATTGATGGTACACTCTGGTCTACAATTTGGTGGTATACCGATGTAATTCTGCATGCAGGAACAAGCTGGACTTTCACCTCGTACGTGGCATTCAGCATTCGGTCCGCAAGGTGATGGCATGCAAGGATTCGTAGGTCGTGCTGATACGCCTGTAAAAAATAAACAAATAAATGATTAATTATCTATTTATAATAGATTAAAGCAATTAAAGAACAATATTAATAAAAACTTACTTGGTAAAGGATAACATCTGCTAAATGGATCACCGGTATTTCCTTCCGAACAACTGCAAATAGGATTATGATTGACAACTTGACATTTTGTATTTTGTCCGCATGTTCCTGGGCATGGATCTTCACATTTTCCATTCAGACACGCTTGGGTTAGAGGACACTCAGAACTAACGACGCATTCGGGTCGACAAGAAGGTGGACTACCAATAAAACTTGGCTGACAAGAACAAACTGCATGATCGTTGACGATTTTACAAATGCTGTTAGGTCCACAAGGTGATGGCGAACAAGTTTGTTTTCCCATTTCTGTAAAGAGATTAAAATATTGAATATTAATTTATGATATTACACTTTATCTTTATCTCATATTTTATTATAATTTCTGATGCATACCATCTGGCAAATATGGTCGACAGAAACTAAACGGATCCCCAGTATTTCCAGCTGAACAACTGCACATTGGAATATGATTGACAACGTTACATTGAGCATTTGTACCGCATGTTCCTGGACATGGATCAACGCAACGTTGATTTATACAAGTTTTCACACGAGGACAATCGGAATTCATGGTGCATTCTGGTCGACAATAAACGTATGGATCTCCAAAGTGATTGGCAAAACAGGTACACTCGCCAGCGTCACATTCAGCGTTAGGTCCGCAAGGTGATGGATTGCATAAATCTTCAGGTATGTTTGGTTGTACTGAAATAATTAGGATTTGAATTAACACGATTAGAATTACATTGAAAATTATATTGTTATAAATCCAATATCATTAATATTATACCTGTAATCGGCGAGCATAATGTGAAAGGATCTCCCGTATAACCTGATTGACATAAACAAGTAGGAATATGAGTTTGAACCCGACAATCCGCATTTTGCCCGCAAGATCCAACGCATGGGTCTCTACATTTCTCAGAGATACATGCTTGGTTCGATGGACAATCGGTATTTACGACACATTCTGGACGGCAATTGGGTGGCTGTCCAATATAATTATTTTGACAAGAACATGCTGCTCGATCATCAACTATTTTACATTCGGAATATAAGCCACATGGATTTGGTATACATGGATTGCCAATGGGTGTCGGTATATCCACTGTTAAATAATATAATAATTAATATCATTGAACAAAATATTTATAGTGAAACTATCGTTGTGAAAATGTTTTGCTTACTTGTAATAGTATAACATCTTGAAAATGGATCTCCAGTCATTCCATGAGAACAACTACACAGAGGATTATGATTGATAACTCTGCAATTGGCGCCTATTCCACATGTTCCTGGACATGGATCTGTACACTTATATTTGTAACATGCACGATTCAATGGACATTCAGAATTAACAACACATTCTGGTTTGCAATTTGGAGGTGTTCCAACGAAAGTAGTCTGACACGAACATACAGCCTGGTCGTTAATTACACGACACAAACTATTAGGTCCACATGGTGAAGGAGAGCATGGATCGATAGTTGTTGGCATTGTTTCGGATTGAAGTATACAAGTTGCAAATGGGTCTCCGACATATCCAGGTACGCATGTACATGTTGGAATGTGATTGATGACCGAACATTGTGCTTGAATTCCACATATACCAGGACAAGGATCTTTGCATTTGTTACGTATGCATGCCTTATTTGTTGGACAATCTGAACTGAGAATACATTCAGGTTGACAACCCTCGTATGGATTACCATGATAATCTTCTATGCAAATACATGCACCGGTGTTTTCACGTTGTTGACAAATTGCATTAGATCCGCATGGTGATGGTACACATGGATTTATTTCTTCCTCTGTAATATTAATTAATAAGATATTTAACTGTAAAATATTGTTTCAATAAAGAACATAAAATATATTGATTTTTACCTTTACGAAGGACGCATTGTACAAATGGATTGCCTGAATAACCAGTTGTACACGAACAAGTAACTGCATGATTTATTACAATACATTCTGCATTCTCACCGCACGATCCTGGGCATGGATCTTTGCATTTAGCATTTACGCATGCTTTATTTGTTGGACAATCTGGATTAATTAAACATTCCGGACGACACGACGGCGGCGTGCCAATGTAAGATGGTAAACAGGAACATGATGGATTTTCATTAACAATTTGACACTGTGCGTTTGGACCACATGGTGAAGGATTACAAGGATCTCCATTATCCTTAGGTTCTAGGTCTATAAAACAATAACAAAATGTCATCAGTTAAGACAGTTTGTTAAAGTAATATGTTGATATTAATTATTATACTTACATTGAACGAAACAGCTCTTAAATGGATCTCCCGTTTGTCCAGGTAGACAACTACAAATCGGTGAATGATTGATAACTTCGCACCTAGCGTTCAAACCGCAAGATCCTAAGCATGGATCTGTACACTTTTTATTTACACAAGCACGTGTCGGTGGACATTCCGAACTTATTAAACATTCTGGTCTACATGATGGTGGGGAACCAAGATAGCCTTCTAAACATGAACAAACAGCGTGATCTTCGATATTTCGACACTGACTATTTGGTCCACATGGTGATGGATTGCATGGATTCGTTTTAGATACCGGCACTGAAATTTATAAATTATATATTTTATACAAATTGTTGATAATATAAATAAATGAGATAAGTATTGGTAAATATTTGTAGCATACTTTGTGGCTGCAAGCGACAGTTCACAAATGGATCACCAATGTAACCGGTAACGCAAGAACAAACAGGTATATGATTTACAACATCGCACTCAGCGTTTTGGCCACATGTTCCAGGACAAGGATCAATGCATTTGTTTCTAATGCAGGTCTTATCACGTGGACATTCTGAATTGAGAATACATTCTGGTCTGCAAGCTTCGTAAGGATTACCACCGTATCCTGGTAAACATTCGCATTCACCATCTCTGCAAATGGCATTTAATCCGCATGGTAAATTGTTACAAAGGAATCCCGTTTGTGGTTTTTCGGTTGCTGAAAATATAACAAAAAATATTATTCGTAAATATAAATAATAATGATATAAAATATATATGAAAGATTTATTAAACTAATAAAATACATACTTGGTGGTATAGTCGTGCATTGAGTGAAAGGATCACCAGTAAAACCTTCAATGCATGTGCATACTGGTATATGATTGAGTATATGACACTGTGCATTGACACCGCAGGATCCTGGACACGGATCTTGACACTTTTGATTGAGACATGCAAGATTACTCTTACATTCGGAACTTAGTATACATTCTGGACGACATTCCGGAGGTACGCCAATGTAATTTGGTAGACAGGAACACGCTGGACTTCCAGATATTATTTGACAAAGTGAATTTGGACCGCATGGAGATGGATTACAGGATGGTGGACGTTCCGTAACTTGTTTAGTTGTTTCATCTGAATTATATAAACAAATAATATATTAAATATGTTAAATAATTATCATCTTAAAATATAAAATATCAATTTTGTTACTTACCAAAAGAGCACAGGGTAAATGGATCACCGGTGAAACCAACAGGACAAATACATATTGGATTATGATTTTTCGTGGTACAATGTGCTTTCAATCCACAACTATTGGGGCAAGGATCCGAACACTTATTGTTAATACATGCAAGATGTTGAGGACATTCTGCATTAACAACACATTCTGGTCTGCATGATGGTGGTATACCCTTGTAATCTGGTAGACACGTGCAAACAGCTTGACCATTGATTTCCCGACATTTGCTATTGGGTCCGCAAGGTGATGGAGAGCATGGATCTAACGGTGGAGGACCTAGACAAAAAATTAAAAATTTAGATTATTGCATATCTAAATACTTCGGTTAATGAATCTTACAAATATAATTACACGTATACTTACGTATTTGTTCTATTTCACAAGCTGAATATGGATCTCCTGTGTATCCAGGTGGACAAGTACAAACTGGAACATGTGATTGAACATTGCATACAGACAAAACACCACACGTATTGGGACATGGATCAGAACATTTAAATCCAATGCATGCCAGGTGTGGTGCACAATCAGTATTTGATTCACATTCCTTGTGACATCCTTTCACGTTGTCGTATGGATCGCCAATTAGATCGGATGGACAAATGCATGCTCCCGCACCATTTCGTTCTCGACATTGTGCATTTGGTCCGCATGGATTTGGCACACAAGGATTTGTTATAGTTTTGCCAGTTGCTATATAAATTATTAACCACATTAAGAAATATATTACAAACGTTATATATATATATAATAATTGACTTATTAATTATAATACTTACTCGGAGCAGAAGACAGTATGCAACCTAAGCTTGGATCACCTTCGTAACCGTCAGGACAAGTACAAATTGCAACGTGATTTTGAACATTACATATTGCTTGTTCACTGCATGCTCCAGGACAAGGATTACTACATCTCTGATTTATGCAAGCCGCAGTTTTATAACATTCAGAATTATCTGTACACTCTGGTCTGCAATTTGGTGGACGTCCAATATAATTCAACAAACATGAACATGCCGGTTGTGATCCTATAACTCTGCATTGAGAATTCGGTCCACATGGATTCGGATCGCATGGATTTTCTATAGTCGGCGGTGTTTGTACGTCAATGAGTAAACAACCAGAGAATGGATCACCCGTATATCCAGTTGCACAGGTACAAATAGGATTATGATTTACGGTGAAACATTTGGTATTTTGTCCACACGTTCCTGGACAAGGATCCGTACATTTATTATCGATGCATGCTTTGTTTTGCGAACATTCAGAACTGACACTGCATTCTGGACGACACGAAGGAGGTATTCCAATAAATCCTGGTTGACATAAACATACTGCGTGACCATTGTGAATTCTGCAATTACTATTTGGACCACAAGGTGATGGATCGCAAGGATTTGTTGGTATCAATTGAGATGTTGTTTCTATTGGTGTACAACGACTGAATGGATCTCCGGTAAATCCAGATATACAAGAACATGCTGGTGCATGATTGACAACTCTACAAGTAGCTTCTTCACCGCAAGTATTCAAACAAGGATTCACGCATTTATTATTTAAACAAGCCTTGCTACGATCGCAGTCATTGTTTGTTACACATTCAGGTCTGCAACCAATATATGGATCGCCAATATATTCAGCTAAACATGTACAGGATCCTGCTCCATTTCTTTCATTGCATATTGCATTTGCACCGCAAGGTGATGGATTACAAGGTGTACGAGGTTGTTCGGTAGTAATTGGTTCTGCAATTATAAAAATAAAGTTTGGTAGAGAGGAATATTTGATTCCTATCATTTCTTAAATATTAAAAATAATAAATAATTACTTTCAATGATAGGAGTACATTCTGTGAATGGATCTCCTGTGAATCCAGCATTGCAAATACAAATAGGATTATGTTTAATAACGTTACAATACGTGTTTACTCCGCAAGATCCAGGACAAGGATCAACACACTGTTCATTTTGACATGCCAAATTACCAGGACATCCTTCGTTTATTACACATTCTGGACGACAATTGGGTGCTCTACCAATAAAGTTTGGTAGACAAGAACATGCTGGGAATCCATCAATTACGCGACATTGTGAATTAGGTCCACATGGCGAAGGAATGCATGGATTATCGCTTGGTTTGTCTTCTGATTTAGAAACTGATGAAAATCATATAATTATTATATGTCGAATAATACAATTATACACAGGCATAAACAAAAGTTTTAAAAATTACCTTCTTTGACGCATTCGAAAAATGGATCTCCTGTATAACCAGACGTACAACTGCATATTGGATTATGATTGACTACTTGACAATTGGCATTCAATCCACATGTACCCACGCATGGATCTTTACACCTATGTTCGATGCAGGCTGTGTTTTGAGTACAATCTGCACTAACCACGCATTCTGGTCTGCAGGAAGGTGGACTTCCAAGATAATCTGGTTGGCAAGAACATACTGCATGATTATCTATCACACGGCAATTACTATAAGGACCACACGGTGATGGATTGCATGGTTCTTCTGAATTTGGAATATCTATAAAAAAAATAATCAAACATATTTAATTGAAATGTTATAAATATTTATATATGTTTTATTTGAACGTGACTACGTACCAACGAATTCATGGCACGATTTCAATGGATCACCAGTGTAGCCAGACAAACAGCTACAAGATGGTTGATGATTATAAACATGGCACTGAGCATTTAAACCACATGCACCTAAACATGGATCCTTGCATTTATTATTAATGCAAGCATTCGTTGGTATACAATCAGAATTTTGAACACATTCCGGTCTACATCCTTCGTATGGATCTCCAGTATAATCAGGTAAACATGAGCACGAACCTACTCCGTTTCTTTCTTTGCAAATAGCATTTATACCACATGGTGAAGGATCACATGGCAATGGTATTGGTAGAATAACTAAAATTTTAAATTTCATTAAAATATAAAACACTTAACAAAAATAATTAAATATTATTCGAATGATTTACCTTTACTGCAACCTGAGAAAGGATCTCCCTCGTAACCCTCGTAACATAAACACATCGGACGATGATTTTGCACAGTACAATTTGTATTTAATCCACAAGAACCAGCACACGGATCTAAACATTTCTTTTGAATACAAGCCAAAGAGTTAGGACAATCTTGATGAATTAAACATTCGGGCCTGCAATTTGGTGGTGCGCCAAACATTCCACTCATGCAAGTGCATACTGGATGATCACCCTGTACACGACATTCGGCATTTGGTCCACATGGAGATGGTAAACAAAGATTCTTTATACCTGGAACTATATTAGCAAACTCTGTTAGATATAATTCACAATACACAAATTGAATTTTATTCAATGAAAATTATTATACCTTCTCTATTGCATTGTATAAATGGATCCCCGTTATAATCAGGAGGACAAGTACACAATGGATTGTGTTTGATAACTTGGCAAAGAGCATTTAATCCACATAAACCTGGACACGGATCGCTACACTTTTTGTTGATGCAAGAAAGATGTTCTGGACATTCGGAACTGACGAGACATTCCGGTCGACAAGAAGGTGGTACACCTTGATAACCTGGACTGCATGAACAAACAGCTCGATCTTTCATTACACGACAAATACTGTGAGGCCCACATGGTGATGGCAAACATGGATTTTGAGATGGAGGAGCTATAAACAAATATATATATATATAGATATATTTAAAATATTTCTACTTTCCAAGTCAGTTGAGAAATAAAATGAGAAATATTTTAATGTACTTACGAGGCTTTTCTACTTTACAAGAACGGAAAGGATCCCCGCTGTATCCTGGTAAGCAAGAACACACTGGAATGTGATCAGATACTTCACAATGTGCATTTGAACCACAAACTCCAGGACAAGGATCTCTACAATGTTGATTGAAACAAGCCAAATGATTGGAACAATCTTGATTGGATATACATTCTGCTCTACAATCCTCTAAATAAGGATTTCCAATATATGGTGGTACACAAATACATTTTGCTACGCCATTGTTATTTGTACAAATAGCATTTTTACCGCACGGTGAGTCTAAACAAGGATCGTACGTATTCATTGATTGAACTGAAAAATAATTATTAAAATATAATTCATATTATTATATTTAAAAAAATGTTTATATTATTTCTTTCGTTAAGATTATTGTAATATTGTAATAAATGAATATTTAATTAAATATACCTGAACAATTTTTATAAGGATTTCCTACTGTTAAATTAGGACAATAACAGGGTGGTGTTTTAGTTGCATTGCACATTGCTCCAAAACCACATGGATTCAATTCACATACGCTGGATTTTGGTATGCATCCTCTGATTGTATTAGGACTTTCGATATAACCGGACAAACAAGTACACTTGGCAAATCCATTGCTCAAAACGGTACATTGAGTGTTAGGACCGCATGGAGATGATTCGCAAGGATTTTTCGAAAGTGCGCATGGCAAATGTGGTGGATCACCTTCATATCCTGGTAAGCAGAAACATTTCATTTGACCATTTACAACTCGACAGCCTGAATTTGCACCGCACGAATTTTTCTGACATTTGTCTCCTTCAGGAACTAAAATATTCAAAATGAAATTATTTAAAAAATTTGTCTTCATTTATATGGTGTTCCTGCATCAAATCAGATACATACTGCATTCTTCAAACGGATTTCCAGTTAGACCCTTTGGACAGAAACATATGGGATTTCCATTATCATTTTCACACATAGCATCCAAACCACACGGATTAGGAATACACGGATTAGTTGATACTTCTTTGCATCCAATATCTGGTCTACCCTCATACCCTGATAAACATTTACATTGTGCTTCGTGATTGTCAGTGTAACATTTAGCATTTTCACCACAACTTAATTCCAAACATGGATTGATACATTGTCTGTTTAATCTGTCGCAGTATTTGTTAGGTGGACAATCTTCGTTATAGTGGCATATATTTTTACCTTCCTCAACTAAAAAAAATACGAATAACTTACAAACATATTCTTATTTGCCCCATCCTTAAAAAATAATTGATAGTTACCTAAATCACATTGTTTATATCCGTCTCCATGATAATCTTCCTCGCAACTGCAATCGGTTCCATGATTTGTATTGATGCAAATTGCGTGTTCTGCGCAAGGGTTCCGAACTAGACAAGGTTCTTGACAAGTATTTCCAATGCATACCTCTGTCAGGGGGCAATCTTTGTCGCTAGTGCAACCCGCTAAATGGAAAGAGTGAGAAAGCCCATATAGCCCCAAGATGTGCATAAGATAAAGATATAAAATGAAAATAGATATTTTGTTCATTGCTTTGCTTGTAAAGAGTGAAATGATCTTTATAGTGATTCAGCTAGTGACGTAAGTTAACTATATGTATATATATTATATATATATATATATATGTATATGTGTGTGTATTTATATGTGCACACATAATAATATTAAATTGTATGTATAATAATATATTTATAATTAATTAATAGAAAACTATTTGATATATAAGATTGAGATTTTTGGTGCATCACATTTGTTGAACTTTCTATTAAAGTTATTAATAAATGATCTATATGATGCTATGTATAAAGCTTCATCATATTTTCTAATCATTTTTTGTTGTTTTTTTTTTTTTTTAAATGTTTATAGTATATACATATTTACAGCTAACAAATTGGCTGTAAAAAGTAAAGTCAAATGCATTGTATTGATATACAAAATATATATATATCAGTTCGATTAAAATACAAACCTTTCACGCATGTTTTTTTAACTTTGTCACATTGCATACCAGGTGGACAATATGGACAACCTTGAACCATGTCTTCGTCTGTAAAAATAAAAATGTATATTAATTTATAGAAGAATCATATATATTATTTATATAAATTTGTATTATTTATACAATGACGTACCTTTAATGCAAACTGGTCTATGTTCATGGACATGACAAACTTCAACAAAATCACAAGGATTGCCAAGTGTGCATGGATTTAAACACTGCCGATCTATACAAGCCAACTGGGCAGGACAATCACCATGTGTCGAGCATTTGAGATCTAATGAAATTACAACGAATTTTAAATAACATTTGTAATAATAATAAACTGGGTGTCTTTAATATTTTAATTTAAAACCAATGCTTTCCAAAATTGATATTGAAATACATACTTCAACAAATAGAACAATAAACTTATGTTAATTTATTTATACAACAAAATATTTGAAAGTTTTATTTAAAGAAATATTGTCATACAATTTTGGCTAACATTAGTTTGAAAAGAGCTTTTAAAATTTTAATCATGTAATGTTTATCATGAAAACCTTTAAACCATAAACATTCCTTAGATTTAATAATGTATTTTTAAAATGTCAATAATTTATCAGTGATAATTTTAAAAGTGCATTATTATTTTTTTTTTTTTTTTGAAATGCATAAAATATAATGATTTTTGTGCGAAATGTATATGAAACTTTGAATCTATTGTTTAATTACTTGTTTATTTTTATATTTAATATACATTATTAAATTATATCATAGAAAAAAAAAATATATATATTTTGTATATTTCGTTAAAAATAAACAAGATTAAACTGATTGAAATATTGGGTGTTACCTATTTACAATTTACAAGAACGAAATCATGCGCATAAATATTAGCAAACATGCAAAATAGTATTAATGCAGTAAGTTTATTAAAATAATAATAATATATACGATCTACGTAAGTAAGGCGTGCTATATTGTGTGTAATAGTAAGAGTACTGTGAATATTTTCTCTGGCATAAAAAAAAAAGATAAATAGGAAAATTAAAAAGAAGAAATGATATCTTTTTTTTTTTTAATTAACTTTCCTTAACGTAGAAATATTTTCAATACATACTCTGCAAAAATGTTGACCGGTAATATTTGGCTAAAGACAAGAAAATAAAATTTCAAACTAAAATCTAATATAAAATTATTATCGAGATTCACCTTTACCTGAAAGAAGATTTTTTTTTGTTTTTTTTTCTTAGGGAGAGGAAAATTCCCAATATATCATTTTTTTATCGATAAAATTTACACGACTGTTAAATTATTTAACGTAAATCAATTTTTATCGCAAATATAATGAAATTTATAGAAACATGGGTAATTGGTAATCGGTTAAATTATTAAAAGCAATTTGGATTAAACTAGATAACAGATTTCTACTTATATACTGTTGTTGTTGTTGTTTTTTTTTTTTTTTTTTTTTGGAAGTTAGCATGCACATACAAAATGACATGGGCTAATAATCAGAAATATCATTATTATTAGATTTTTACAGAGACAGATGTAATGGAAAAAAATCCTTGAGCTGTAAGGAAAAGGAAAATGGTACATAGTACCATAATAAAAGAGGATTCATAGGTATTGGAAATATGTCCATGGTTTGGAATTCACAACATCCAGACAACAAAATTCTCAACAGATCGTTTGAAAGTAAACGCTTCATGTAATTATAATTTATAAGATAAAACTATTTTATGGTAATTGTTAATAGTAAAAATAAATAATAATAAAATAAAATGTTGCTGTCTGAATGTTAAAGAAAAAAAAGAATAAAAGAAACACCTGAAAACTAGCAAACGTATGTATCGTGTAAGGCGATAAAGGCATTTGTAGAAATTGGTATGCATAACGAAATCACGAATAAGATTGAGATAGATTGGTGCTGAGAAATGGTGTTTACCTTTCATGCATCCATATTTAGTATCTGGCACAAAGCCGGGGGGACAGAACTTGCAGATAGGCTTGTGCTCCTCCACGTAACAGGGGGCATCAGCCGGACAGGTGGAGTTTCTGCATGGATCCACACAGCGATAGTTGCGGCACGCCAAGTCTGGAGAGCAGCCACTGTCTCGCAGGCAAATGGAGAGGGAAGGATTGCAGTTTTGGGTGCAAATGCACACAGGACGGTGGTCCAAAACATCGCAAGTTTTACCGTCTGGGCATGGTTTTTTCTTTCTTACGTTACAGGGATTCTGACATTTTCCATTGACGCATGCGGCATTTGACGGACAGTCAAAATCTCTCGCGCAAGTCAGCGTATCGGGTGCACATGTTAATTCTCCGAGTTCATTGACGACGAAGCCGTGTTTACACACACACATGGGCCTATGATTTCGCACCTGACATCTCTTGTTAACTTCGCAACTGTATTGAGAACTTAAGCATGGATCGCGACACTCCCCTGTCTGGGAATGGCAAGAAAGACTCTCAGGACAGTCGCTGTCTTTTGAACAATCAATGTTCGGTGCAGGTCTGGGACTTAGTCTATCACATTTAAGATCTGGATGACAAGCCGTATTAGGCATACCGATATAACACTGTGGACACGAGCATCGGGGCTTATGTAGAACCACTCGGCAAAGGGCATTTATTCCACAGGCACCGCGCAACGCGCACGGGTCCAGACATTGCAGATTTATGCAGGCTTTTTCATTAGGGCACTCTAAGTCACTGGTGCATTCGCGTTCTAATTTCGTAATAGTGATGGTTGGTATCATGTTGTGGTGTCAACGACGGGTCATTGGATTGGGCAGGAAAAAAAAAGAAAAAGCATTTATAAGAACTGTGAAAAGAAACTTTCTCACAAATAACATAAACCACATGCTTTGTATTTATGATGGAAGTAGGGTAGTTCTGTGACAGAAGTATAGAATACGACTTTACGTTATCGAATATCTTAAGGACACATTTTGTGGGCTACAATTAAATAAAACGGCAAGCAGCAATATTTACAACACAAGCCCCTGATAGAATTCAGAGAGAGGAAAATAACGACCCGTGAATTTCAGCAAATATCAAGCATGGGTATATGAGAATGTCCCTTTTGCAGTTCCCAATCTGTATTAATCCTAGACTAAATACAGTGTTCACTTAAATCTTCCAATATCTTATCTTTCAAGTTGTACTCGAAAATACTGAAGTGTTCCTTTGCTAGCTTTGATCTTTCTAAAAGACAGATTGGATACTGAAATAAACATTCTACATATAAAGTTATGTGTGAGATATGTGTAAGTGTTTTCTCTTAAGTAATTATGTACAGTATGCCTAATGTATATATGTACATGTATGCTGACTCTAACAAATGTAACAGATAAAACATATCCAGTGTTGTTGCTTATTCATTGCAACTAATCCGATCACATCTGTCTCTCAATGTTAACAACTCACTGAATTAATATATCTATATATTGTTTAATTCCTACGAGACGATACATGGTTATTCTACAGACCATGTTCCTATAATCGTCAGTATTGCATACTAGTCACAAATGCTGTACATAAAATTAATCAAACTGCTTGGTTAAACAGTTAGTGGGCTAGTTCTTACCTGTTGTACATTCAATATCTGGTGAACCAGTTGTACCTGGGGGACATCGGCAAACAAATATCGTACCATCTCGAATGCATTCAGCACCTTTTCCACAGCCAATTGTTCTGCAATCTCCTACATTCGTATCAGGGCTACCTGTTTATACCAGAGAGTAAATTATCTTTTATTATATATCATTAGTATATTCATAAAAAAAAGAAGGATCCTGTAGATAAAACATATCTGTTTATGAACATTACATAAACGTAATTTAACACGTCAAATTTTCATTAAACTTACATGCATGCATGGGATCACCAGATGGGAAGTTTGGTGGACAATAACACTGCGGTTGATTTTTGTAAATACGACAAGCAGCATTGACACCGCAATGAACATCTTTACAAAGTTCACCACCATCGCACAAACATGCTTCATGCGGATTACCATGACATCCTGGATCACACGTACATTCAAAACCATTAGCTGTTTCTCTACATTTTGCATTAACACCGCAATGTCTTTGCAAACAACTATCTCCACCTTTGACAAAAATATAAATAATCAAATTTATTTAGAATTTTACGTACTTCGTCGTTTTCATAATCGAAAGAATCAATTCATACCTATTTTGCAATTAACTTTTGGATTACCGAAATGTCCAGGTGGACAAGAGCATTGTGCTTTCCTGTTAACAACCCGACATTGTGCATTGAAACCACAAATGCCATGTTGCAAACAAGGATTCGTACAAACACCATTTTCGCTGCATTGCTTATTCGATTCACAATCTTCATCTCTATGACATTCTAATTGATAACATTCCTGACTTGGTTCTCCTTGATATCCTTCAGGACACAAGCAAACTGCTCGGTGATTAGAAACACGACAAAGTGCATTTATTCCACATGGTGATCCATTTGATGAACAAGGATCGATACACTGTCCGCTTGTACAGGATAAAGATGATGGACAATCCGAATGTGTACGACAACCAATCATACATAATCCTGCCTCGCATATGTATCCCTGAATGAATTAAAATAAAATGAATATTAATAGAATTTACATCACACGCTATTAGAAAACATTAATCAATTATTTGTAAAATTAATATACTAGAAATACTTTTAAGTGATACCTTAGGGCAAACATTATTACTGTCACATTTTACTCTGCATTTTCCTGTATGACAAACTTCTCCGCAAGTACATTGACTTTGGCTAGTGCAACTTGTACTACAGAATCCAATCTCGTCGCATTCACAAGTATGGTCGCAAGGAATCATAGATTTCATGCAACTTAACAATGCATTGCCATAATAATTAGCTGGACAACTGCATTGTGCTATATGATTAACTACTCGACAACCAGCACATTCACCACATGCTTTACCACCTTCGCATGGATCTGTTTAATCGATCAATTCGTATTTGTAAATAATAATAATAAAATATTTTCAAATATTATTCTCATTAAATTATTTCTTATTATTAGCTTACTTCGGCATTGGTTGTTCAAACAAGACTCATCCTTCGAACAAGTATTATCACTGCGACATCCGATGTTACACAAACGATTCTGACAAATTTGATTGTTAGCACAATGCCCATCATTGTTACAAATTGCTTTACAAATTCCATTATCGCAACGTTCATCGTTCAAACAATCCACGTCACTGAAATAGTATTTAATAAATATTTGATTCAAATCTTGATCACAATCTTTAGCAATATAATTATCGCTTAATTACCCTCTGCATTTCGTGTAGCAAGATTTCCCATAGCACGTTTGACCCGATAAACAATCTTGTTCAGTTGCACAAGGAAGGAATGCTTGTTTACAACCAACGAATGGATCTCCAACTAACCGCGGTGGACAAGTGCATACTTTGTGATGGTCAACAACTGTACATTTTGCATTAACTCCGCATGAATCTGACAAGGTGCAAGGATCTACAACGACGAATGCATTTCAATAATTAATATGACTTGATTCTACGTTTTTGTAAATAAGAAAAGTAATGATAATATTATTAAATAAAAAACTGACCTATACATTGATTGTTTATGCATGCAGAATTTTCTTGACATTCGATATCAGATCGGCAACCAATAGTACAAGTAAGTCCTTCACAAATTTCGCCACTCCTGCAATCTTCGTCTCTTCTACAAAGTGATTTACAAATTCCTGAACTATCGCACCGTTCGTTACTCAAACAATTTGCATTTGTAGAGCAAACGGGTGTACAAACTCCAGAAATACAAGCTGTTCCTGTATCACAATCTCTGTTAGCTTGACATACTCTTCCTGGTAATCTTAAGCAAGCAATCTTAGCTGTTGGATTTGGTATAAATCCAGAAGGACAAGAACAAGTAGCTCGTTGATTGAAAACAGTGCATTTTGCATTTGGTCCACATGGTGTTACTTCGCATGGATTGGCACACTTGTTGGAAATGCATGCTTGATTTGCATTACAATCCTCGTCAACGCGACATCCGAAGGAACACATATTTTGCAAACAAATATGACCAAGGAAACAATCGTTATCAAGTCGACAGGTTAACAAACAATTTCCGTAAATACATTTTTCATTGAATGCACATTCGTTGTCCGTTGAACATATTGGCAAACATACGTTATCGCGACAAGTATTACCTTCATTGCAATCGTTGCTACCGCTGCAAGAAACTGGTACTGTAAAATAAATATTTATTACCAGGGATTACAAATATGATGAATCCTTGAGGGATTTTATTCTTTCAGGGTTATTCAATAAATAAATAAATCATTAACTTACGTCTAACACATTCCACTTCAGAATTACCAGTAAATCCAAGTGGACAACTGCACTGTTTGATGTGATTTCTTACATTGCATTCCGCATTGATGCCACATGCTGCTCTTATGTCGCATGGATCTAAGCACTGTCCGTTTAAACATACGTCGGATAAATTACATTCTTCGTCCGATTGACACAATGCTACAAATAATCAATATTCGATTATATTTATTATATAAATAAAAAGCAATAACTTTCAAGGTAATCAAACTTACGTCGGCAAATACCCTCGTAGCAATAAGTGTTAGCCAAACAATCGTTAGCTGACGAACAGAGAATAGATTTAGGACGACATCCAATACTCAAACTGTTAGGATTTCCTTCGTAATCGGTTCGACACTGACAACTAGCTGCATGATTGGTTGCAACACAATCTGCATTTGGTCCACATTGTATCTTTCCGCAGACATCTGAAATTTATGAATACATCAATGCACAATTGTTCACTTTTTGTTTGCAATAACATAAACTTATTATGTACTAACCGAAACACTTAGGTATGTTGTTAACACTGATACATTTTGCTGATAATGGACAATCATCGTCTTGTAAACATTCGACAGGTTGTTGACAACCACTGTTATAAGGATCACCAATAGTGCCAGGTTGACAGTGACACTTGTAAGATCCTCGAGAATTTTCACATAAGGCTCCAGGTGCACAAGGTGCATTTGCACAATAATCAACTAATGTGCAACCTAATGTTGGTTCTCCAGTATATCCAGGATGACATGTACAAATCTAAATAAAAATATAATTAATATGAATTTCATTCTGGATTACAATTATCAGAGAAAAAGTAAAATCTGTTCGAATCTTACTTGAGTATGTTTTTCTGCAGTACAAATAGCATTAACTCCACAAGGATTATGTGCAAGACAAGCAATTCTGCATTTGTACAAATCACAAATCTTCTCATCGCTACATTCATCATTTGTTTCACATTCTATAGGCTGACAACCTATTTTATCATCTTTAGCGTTACCAAAGAAACCGGATTGACAAGAACACGAAGCAACATGATTGTCAGATTTACATTCAGCGTTACGTCCGCAAAATGTCAAATCGCATACTTTACGACATTCAGCCTAACACAAAATAAATATTATATTATAAAAATACGAAATATTATTATTCCAATCTACGATGTTATAAAAAAATATATTTACTTACTTGTCCGATATTATTTTTAATACATTTTTCATCGTAGGAACAATCATCGTCAGATATACAACGTAATTCTTGAATACAAATATTATTATGACAATATTGATAATCTGGACAACTAGAATTACTTTTACACGTAGGTTGACAAAGTCCATTAATGCAAAGTTGATCCCCAATGCAATCCCTTGTACTACTACAAAGTGCTGTAAAATTTGTATGGTGTGTTAAAACAAAAATATTCTATAAACTTCAGCAAATTTATTCCTATTTTATAATTTATAATTCGTAATATTTTCTCATACCTGTACATATACCACCATTACAAGCTGAGCCCGTTGCACATTGTGAATCTGTCTTACAATATTGTACTGGTGTACAACCGAGATTAGGATCACCGGTTCCACCAGGTTGACAAGTACAAACTGCACTATGATTAAGTGAAGAACAATCAGCTCCATGTCCACAAACATTTGAAACAGAACATGGATCTACGCATTTATGATTGAAGCATGCATCTGATTGACTACAATCGCTGTGATAGTTGCATTCCAAAGAAATACATTCAACCTAAGAAACGAAGACAAATTTATACACATGAACAAAAATCATTGAATAATAAAATAATCATTTAATCGAAACTTACTGATGGATCCCCGGTTGTTTGATCGGGACATTTACAAATTGGTATGTGTCCTCGTGCGAAACATTTAGCATTTTTACCACAGACCTTTGATGTATCGCAAGGATTCGTACATCTGTTATCAACGCAAGCAGCTGTAGCAGGACAATCTGAATCCGCGAAACAATCCCCTGGTTGTTTACAACCTGCTTGAATTGGATCACCAACCAATCCATGTGGACAAACGCAAATGTACGATCCTTCTGTGTTCTGACAGCTAAGAATAATAATTTATACATGTAATTAAAATATATACATATACTTTTATCAAATATTAATTGACACACGATTAATATTTACATTGCTGTAGGGTGACATGCATTTTGCGAACATTCATTGATATCGACACAAATATCATCCACAAGAACAAAACCGGGATAACATTTACAAATACCAGTGTGATCGATTGATACGCAATTACCATAGCCACAATTTACTTGATTGCAAGGACCTAGCAAAATAAATGAACAAATACAATGACTGTTCATCTTGAAATACTTTTTTATAATACAATATTATAAAATACTTACTACTGCACTTATTGGTTTCTTGATTACAATATTTGTCAGATGGACAATCATTGTTAGTTAAACATTCTACTTTAAAGCAACCAGTACTGTCACCAATATATCCTGGTTGACACTGACAAGTAGCTGCATGATCGACAACAGTACAAATGGTATTTAAGCCACAATCAACAAAAGAACATGGATCTGAACAGTTATGCTGAATGCAGGATTGTGTTTCTGGACAATTTGAATCTACAGTGCATTGATGTGGTACCACACATCCTGATATTACTGGATCACCTGCGGTACCTTGTGGACATACGCAACGATATGAACCATGATGATTAATGCATTCTGCACTAGGATGACATGGATGTTCTTCGCATTCATTTATGTCTAAACAATGTTCAGGACCATCGATGAATCCATGACTACATCTAAAATATAACGATAAGTGAAATAATATAAACTGAAAACGTTAAACATTAAAATATAAGTGGAAATACATACCTGCACTTATTATTAATACACACTTCATCTGACTTGCAACTTGCATCGGAAGAGCAACCAGCTTCGCAAGTTCCATCGACGCATAATTCACCAGGCAAACAATTACTATCACTGTAGCATACTTTTACGCATACGCCATTCTTACAACGTTCCCCTTTAGCACAATTATTTTGTTCTTTACATTGGCACTGACATAATCCAGAAACACAAACGTGCTGACTTGGACACTCTTGTGGACCATCGCACGAATTTGGTACTCGGACACAACCTTGCTCTGGAATTGGATTACCTTGAAATCCTAATGGACAGGAACATATTGTTGCATGATTGACGCAACTACAAATAGCGTTGGGTCCACAAACATCTTTCTTTTTGCACGGATCTAAAATATAAATATTGTTTAATAGTATACATCATTTATTCGTTAAGTTTATAATAAATTTTGATTTATAATTGTCATACCTTGACATTTGCTGTTTATACATGATTCATAAGATGGGCAATTTTTGTTATTTCGACAACCCAAAATGCAGACACCATTCATACAAGCTTGATCAGGTTGACACTGAGAATGGGTAACACAAGGCACTGAACATCTATTATTTATACATTTTTCACCATCTGAGCAATCAGAAATAGATCTACACACAGCTAAAATGCACAAAATTGCAATGTTAATAAAAGACTAAAAAGCTAATATTAAATTAAATATTGTTACTTTTGAAAAGATGTATAAACAATACCTATACATTGTCCGTCAAGGCAAACGCTGTCTACACAATCAGTATCGGTGTTGCAATAATTCGTAGCACGAATGCAACCATCTTCTGGACTCTTAGATGAAGGAATGAATCTATGGATGCATTTACAAACTGGTTCTCCATTGATCACTTCGCATACAGAATTGGCACCGCAAGCATTCTCACAAGGGTTGATGCATTGATGTTTATAACATGTTGAATGTGTAGGACAGTCCTTATTGCTATTACAATAACCTTCTGGTTGACAGCCAGTACTATAAGGATCACCAACGTAATTAGGAGGACATTGACAAGTAGGACTGTTAGATGCTCCCGGAACACAGAATGCTGACGAGTGACAAGGATTTGGATTACAAGTTTCTATCGCAACGCATTCAACATCAGCTACGGGATTAGGTTTTAAGCCAGGTGGACATTGGCAGATCGCTTTATGGTCATCAGCAATGCAAACGGCATTTATACCACATGCATTTTCGTCACACGCATCGTAGCATGTGTGAGTGAGACGATTGCAAAGTTGCGTAGGTGGACAATCGATGTTATACACGCATGGTACTTCGAGACAACCCTTGCTACGATCATTTGGATCTCCTGCGTATAATCCAGGTGGACATTCACAATTGGCAACATGATTGTTTACGATGCAAAGTGCATTAGGACCACAGGTAATAAAGTTGCAGACCGGTTGACAAGTCAATGTACCTTTTTTTATGAAAATGAAAGAAAGGAAATATTTATTGAATGAAGAGCGATATAATATGAAAATCAAATGATAATAATTTACCTTCTGTGGTAGATCTACAGGCCTGATCTTCTGGACATTCACTATCACTGGAACATTTATTGGTACGTGGATGCACACATCCTCTACGATCATTTGGATTACCCACGTATCCTGCCAAACATTCGCAACGTCCTCGGTGATGTTCGGCAATGCAATGAGAATTTAAAACACACGTGAAATCGGAACACACAGGAACACATTTAAGAACACCAAGTACATCAGGTCTGCAAGCTTCTGTTATATGGCAATCATCATCTGATATACAACTAGGCACTGATGGTTTCTCACAAGAAGACAACACTGAATTCCATTCGTATCCTTCTTGACATTTACATGTTGCATGATTAGGAACTATGTCAGGCACACAGGTTTGATGAGCACCACACACGACTTTACTACATGGATTTACACAATCTCTAGCACCATTGTCGAGAACAACGCATGAATAACCAGTCGGACAATCAGAATCATGAAGGCAACCTGGTGTTATCAACGATTTAGCTGGTACACATCCATCAACGAGATTACTAGGATTACCCTGATATCCATCGATGCACAAACAAGATGACACGTGATTTTGAGTAATACATAAAGCATTAGGTCCACACTGAAGTTTACTGCAAGCGTCTACACACTTTCTAGTGCCTTTACCAACTTGGAAACAGATTTGTTGAGTTTCACAATCTAAATCGTTGGAACAATGACCCCGTAAAAGACATCCTTTGACATGATCATTTGGATTTCCTGTATATCCTGGTGGACACAAGCAAGCTCCATCTTGACAAATTGATTTAGGACCACATTTGATATTGTGACATTTGTTGATGCATTTGCCGTTAACGCAACTATAATCGAATGGACACGGTAATGCCTCGCTACAACTGCAAATGGATGGATCGGTACAAGGACTCGTTTGTACTTGTTGACATCCGACGAAAGGATTTCCAAAAAAGTCTTCTTTGCAACGACAATCATAGCTTCCTATCGTATTAATACAAACTGCATTGGTACCACATGCATTTCCATTACATTCGTTGATATCTGCAACAACAATTACAAACCGTACGTTGTTATATTATACGAATATTTGCATATAATCCTAATTATTATATTTCAAATATTTTTACAAACCGAAACATTGAATATATGGATTCCCAGCATATCCTGGTGGACAAACACATTCTACTGCATTAGTTGCTGTACTGCAATGAGCATCTTTGCCACACACGGTAGTAGAACAATCGGATTTATGTTGAATTTCACAACCATGATAAGGATTACCACTGGTTCCAGGATTACAAATACATTTAGATTCTTGAAGTCCATATTCGCAGTGTGCATTTTTACCACAGTCCGGATTACAAGTTGGCGGTGCAATAGCTGTTTGTACAAAAATGCTTGATGAATTTGATTTCTTTATGATATTATAAAATTAGAAAACAATGATAACTTACGTGGCATACAAAGTAGATCAGGATTACCAATGAAATAAGGATTACAAACGCATTTGTTAGTTGTTGGATCACAAGTTGCACCTATACCACAAACGATTCCTTCACATCGATGTTTACATCGACCACTTATACAAATACTTGGTGCAGCGCATGGAATTTCAGCAGAACAAACGTCCGGCACGCACTGTCCTCCGGGGAATGGATTACCCATAAAACCTTCTATACATTTACAAGTTGGTCCGTCGTAACTGACGATACATTGGGCACCAGCACCACATACGAAACCATCGCATTCTGCATGATACAAAAAAAATATATAAATCCTAATACATCAACGAAAGAAAAATCCTTTTTATTTATAAATACTTACGAGATACGCATTCGTTATTGCTTCCTTCTGTAAATCCAATCACGCAACGACACCATGCAGCATGTTTATCAGGTTCGCAATACGCGTTAGGTCCACACCGTATATTATCACAAGGATTAATACAACTTCCATGAACGCATGCCAGATAATTTTCACAATCGTCATTGGATGTACATTCAGTTCTTGCAACAGCTACACCTTTACAACCATTTGTATAAGGATCACCTGCCATACCTTTTGGACACTCACAGTGATGACCACCTTTCGTATTGAAACAATATGCACCAGGACCGCAAGGATTATTAGCACATTCGTTTACGTCGATACAACCGTGTTGTGGATCACCTTCGTATCCAGCCTCGCACATACATTTTGGTGGATCACTTGGGGTACATTTAGCATTTATACCACATGGGAATCGATCGCAAGGGTCTATAGAAAAGAATTGAATCGTATTTTAAGATTTGTATGACACGGATCAAACAGATGTTTAATTATTGATTTAATAACTTACTCTTGCAAAGATTTCCATCAAAGGGATCTGTGTAGAATGGTGGAGGACATACACATTCACCTGGTTGTACACATTTCTCATTAGATTTACATTCATTATCTGTAGTACATCTTTTTTGAGCTGGAGAACAAAGCCCATTGTAAGGATCACCACCGTAACCCCGAGGACAAACACATTGATGAGAACCCAATAAATTAATACATTCTGCTCCATAACCACAGACTTGATGACCATCGATACATTCATTTATATCTACATATGATATCATATAATAATTATTAACTAATAATAATTATCAAAATAATTATATATTTAAATTGGGGAATTATAAATTACCTTCGCAAGAACCATCTGCTTTAGTTGTGTAACCTTTAGGACAAGCACAATAACTAACACCACCTGCGATTGTTATACATTCGGCACCACTAGGACATTTCTCACCCTTTGAACAACCGGCTAACATACATTTACCATTGACAATTTTGTAAGGTGGTTGACATTGACATTCAATGCTGTTGCATTCTGTAAAAAAGGAAATTCATTAATCGGTTAAATAATTTATACAAATTTGCTTAAAAAGATTGAAAAATTTTGAAATAATACCTTCACAAAGTGAAAAAGGATTGCCGTTGAATCCAGATGGACACTGACATTCATAACTTCCAGGTAAATTTTTACAAATAGCATTAACACCACAAGCTGGTTTTTCTCTAAGTTCCATGCATTCATTTATATCTCTACATTTACCAGTTTCACTATCTCTGGTATAACCACGTTGACAAATGCAAACGCTACTACCAATAAATTCGTCCTTGATACATTGTTCACCAGCTGGACATGGTGTGCTAGGACCACACACATGTGGTACATTTGATTCCCGACAATCACCGTTATAGGGGTCTCCTGCTGTACCTCTTGGACACTCGCACGAGAAAGAACCTGCTTCATTTTTACAAACTGCACCCTGTGGGCATGGATTTATTGCACATTCATCTATATCCCTGCAACCATCTTTAACACCAGGTTTTCCTGTATATCCGTTACTGCAAAGACAAGTTGCAATGTCGTTTAACAACATGCAATGTGCATTTGGTCCGCAAGACAAATCTTCGCAAGGATCTGAACATAAATAAAATTCAAAATATATATTAAATATCTTGTATAAAATAAAATAATGTTATAAATACAGAAATAATAAAACATACGTCTACAATCATTTCCAACATTAGGTTCTGGACATAAACAACGTTTTTGTGGATCGCAAATTGAGTTTCCAGGACAATCATCGTCAACCTCACAAGTAACTACGCCTACACATTTTATGTAAGGATCAGGATCTGGTATTGTTCCTTCTGGACAATTACACGAATAAGAACCTTCGTTGTTGAAACATGTAGCACCATGACCACACGCGTCGGATCGTGAACATTCATCGACATCTAATAAAATTATTTTAAATATAATAAAAAAAAAATCATATTAATAGTTACGTGATACAAATTTATATTAAAATATTGATTATTATTACCTAAACATTGTTTAAATGCGTTCCCAGAAAATCCAGATTTACAGTGACAAGTAAAACCACCAGGTGTGTTAGTACAAATTGCATTTTTTCCACATCGACCAAAGGGTCCATTTATTGCATCGCATTCGTTTATATCTTCGTATAAAAAACAAACAAACAAATGAATCGATCAAAATAAAGGAACCTTTTTTTATTTATTACAAAATTTAATTTTTTACTCACCGACACATCCTGCAGCTATGTCATTCGGATTGAAGGTCCAACCATCTTCGCAAATACAATAAGCTTCATGAACGTCGGCTTTACAAAATGCGTGTTCACCGCAAGTAACTTCATCGCATGGTGCTAAAAAAAAAAGAAACAAACAAATATTTCATTTGAAATCTATTTTTTATATGGGACAATTGTTTATTTGTAAGAAAATACCTTTGCAAGGAATATGAGGTGGTGTTCCAATAAAACCAGATTCACATTCGCAATGATAACTACCCCTTACATTGGTACAAATTGATGATGAACCACAAGGATTCGTAAGACATTCGTCCAAATCTTCGCATTCGGCACCAACAGCTTTAAATCCAGATTTACAGAAACATTGTCCTTCTATACACTCGGCATTATTAACACAATCGAAATTTGATTTACACAAGGTCGTTACATCGGTCTAAAAATATGATACATTATTAATATTCATTGTTATTAGATATAACAAATGAATTATTATTATAATTAAGAAAAAGAATCATTACCTGTACACAAGCAATAGATGGGGTTGGTTTTGGACTATAACCAGGTGGGCATAAACATTCATATCCTGGTACTGCATTTTTACATATAGCATTGGTACCACAAGGATTTTCGTATGCGTTACATTCGTTGATATCTATAACGTTATAATAAATGACAGAAGCTATTCAAATGTTATAAACATTATTACATTGAAAAATAATACAAAATTATATCAAATAATTAATTATTGTTGTTATTATTATTAATTGTTTTAAATATTAATAACAGTAGAAATAACACTTTACTGACCATAAAATATGATATTATTTTAAACAAAATTAAAAAAGAAAAAGAGTTATATTTGAAATTTCCTTTTGGAATAATAAAAGAGAATGGTCAGTAAGGTGTTAATTATAAGATTCAAGGCTAAGTGCTAACCACTGCATCCCTTGAATGGATCTCCCGTATATTCTGCTTTACAGCTGCAAATGAAGCTACCAACGGTGTCGGTGCACTCGGCATTCTCACCGCAAGGATTTTTCTCGCATTCGTTCACATCTATTAATTATTAATTATTAAATACATCGGTTAATACTAGGATGGAATATTAATAATTATTAATTTTAAAAAAAAAGAAAAAAAAAGGTTTATTAGAACGTGAGAGGGAAGAGACTGACTTTCACACAGGGTCATGCCTTGACCGATGAACCCTTGAGGACATATGCACTTGTATGAACCGGGTACGTTGATGCATCTTGCATTTTCAGCACAAGCGTCGTTATGGATGCATTCGTTAACGTCTACACAACGTTGGGTGGAATCCATTTGATAACCAACTTGGCATCTGCATTCGAAACTACCCTCTGTGTTTACGCATTCTGAATCTGCTCCACAGGGTGTTCCCGTGTCACACTCGTTTATATCTGTTAGTAATCGGTTAGTGATTTAGCACTAATTCTAATGACGCAAGTTATATAAATTAATCTTATATATACATTTTTATACGAATCGTCATTTACTTATTATGTGTGTGCAAAACTATTATAGCTAATGAATCACTAAGCTTTTACTTGGTAAATTTCAATGGTTATATCATAGCGTTATTTTTTTATTTGCTATAACTCGTATTAACTTACAAATGTATTTGTATTATTATTCACAAGCATTAGAGTTAATTCATTGATAATATCATAATTCTAGAAACTTTCGTAATCTTTTAAATTGCATTTGACTTTTACTCGAATATCGTATGATTAATACTCGATAAAAATATCTCTTGAGTAAAAAAGAAAATTAGAATTACGACATGTTTATGTTTTGTATTATATACACATTCATACATATTAATGTGAATATTTTAGCATAAAAATATTAATCAAAATCGACTCTATGTTAAATATAGAATATGAACTTACCATGGCATCCCGTAGACGGATCACCTTCCATTCCTTCTGGACACGTACATCGAAAACTTCCTCGTAAATTGGTACAAAGCGCTGAACGTCCACAAGGATTTCTCAAACATTCATCTACATCGGTGCACTCGTCTTCGGGACTGCCGTCGTATCCTTCCGGACACTCGCATTTATGTGCACCAGGTAAATTGATGCAAAGTGCACCACGACCGCATGCTCCTTCGTAATTGCATTCGTTAATATCGATACACTGAAAATAAATAAAGAAATTTTGGATTCTCATCAATCTTATATTTTATAAATCGAATCATTGGATTCGAAGTTTGATGAAAAATAAAAATATGAAACGTACGTTGTCGTAAGGGTCTCCCGTGAATCCATCTTGACACGAACAGGTATAATTACCAGGAATATTATGGCACAATGCATTGTTAGCACACGCACCAGGTATAGTACATTCGTCAACATCCTCGCAATGTACTTCACCATCCCCTATATATCCGGATTTACACTTGCATAGAAAATTTGACGGAAGGTTACAACATTCTGCATTTTCTACGCAACGTGCTGCTATTGCTGGCACTTCGCATTCATTGATATCTAACGATAAAATAAAACAAAACAAAAAATGTATTTTACAATTATATTATCGCGTGATAGCAAATATTTATAATTAATATTAAATAAACAATTTTTGGTTGTTGTTTTTATACGTACCTTCGCATTGAAAACCGTCACCTTTGTAACCAGGATAACAGGAACATTGAAAACTACCAAGAGTATTCGTACAGTGAGCAAAAATATCACAGGGTCTGTACTTACACTCGTTCTCATCTAAAATAAAATAATAATAATAATAATAATAATAATTTAACAATCTCATATATGTGTTTGTTAAATTATTTGCTAATAAAACTGTCGGATAAATTATTCAGATTTTTAAACTTACCTGGAACTTGACAATTGCAACCACCAAAACCATCATTGCAATGACATACCGAATCTAAACACACACCGTTCAAACATTTCGTACCATCTTCTTTCGTACAATCGTCTATAAAACAAAACAAAAATATAATAATAATTATTATTATTATTATTATTATTATTAAAGAATTGTAATAAAAAAAAAAAAAAACATACTTAATTGTCAGTAGAGTTGAATAATAATCTTGTGGTATTATTAAAGTGACACAGAAGAAAAAGGATAGAAAAGTTAACGGTAGTAAGTGAATTCACGTTGCGTATCGTCTCCGAGATTATTTTTCATAGTCACATGATTATACAATAAGCTACACACTCATCTTTCTTCCGGGATATGAGAAAAAAAAATGGTATTTTTTCTTTTCTGTATTTTTTTTCTTTTTTACAACGCAATCATTATCTTTGACACAGTTTTTCACGTAAAAAAAAAAAAGAAAGAAGAAGAAGAAGAAGAAGAAAACAAACGCACAACCATGCGAGTATATCGACCGTAAAACGATCTTACCTGTACACTTGAGTCTTTCACGTTGCTCATCTGTACCCTGATAACAATCGACTTTGTGATCGCAGAGTTTCGAGAGTTCGAGCAATTGCAGAACATCCGTTGATTCGTTCACCTGACAACCGAAGTAACCGTCCTCTAAGTTGAGAAAAAATACTTCTCTTCTTAGTCCTTTCAAAGATTCGACCTAAACAAAACAAAAATATAAAATACACGAGTGTAATATCTGTGTAATAGACACGTGCATATTCAATTTCTATTTGTAGTTTATTAATTTGTTTTAAACAAATACTTACAGGACAAGAATAAAGAAGTATCCATGCCAGTAACAACGGCCAAAGATGAAACATCTTTGCTGTGAACAATCAAATATTCGATGATTATTATTTAATCATCAATTATTATTATTATTATTATTATTTATGTCATATGAAATGATGAAATGATGATTGACAAGATATGTGAACTATTTGAACATTAATTTACAATACTTCTTTAACAATACTATCTTGATATTTATGATTGAACATATTTGTTAAGAAAAAAAAGAAGAATAATGTGAATCGTGTTTTAGTTTTCGTAAAAATACATGACAACTGGTATACGAGTTTTAACGGGAATAACACAAGGATTTCAGACCATAAGAAACGACTCCCGCATTTTCCCCCTCGTAACAGCTAAATTCACGATCAAACACCTGTTCCACCGTCAACTCGGCATGATGTCGATGTTTTCGAACCGTAACAAACTTAAAACCACCACCCAAAAATATTGTATCTTTTTTTATATTGTTTTGTTTAAAAAAAGAAACCTTCCCTCTCTCTCTCTCTCTCTTGTTGCTAACATTTAAAAAAAAACATTTTAATATTTGTAATAATAATATAATTCATTAAAATAAATTATCATTAAAATATGATGATAAATGTAAACCTATTTGATGAATGAATTACTTGAGAAAAAGGAGGATGAGGGAAAATAATTTGTTGATACGCCATATAGGAAGAAATAAAAATACCTGTAAATAAGGAAGAAGGAAAAGAAGATTGTAATAATGAAGGGCGTATGAGTACGATGCACCTGTAGCTACTTCTCTTGCTTCTTCAGAGATTTTATCTCGTCGTTAAATTAATCTCTTCATCTTAAGTTGTCTTTTCTAATATTATTAACTTTTTCCTTGACATCGAGTACTCGCTTATAGTGTGCATCTAATTATCAATTATTACGAGTTAATAATGTCTTAATAATTAATTTAAATACAAATAATAATTTTCTATAAAAATTAATTAAAATAATTGTAATATATATACAACACATAAATATAAATAATATTTATATAATACTTACACTTTAAAGTTCCATAGCAATATTTTGTTGAATAATATAAAAAAAATATTATATTTTATTATCAAAGATTAATCACAAATAATATAATATATTATATTTTTGTAAAGTATTATTCAATTTCACTAGTGTAATGTAACAAGTTAAGAAAATAAGTAAAAAAAAAAAACTGAAATTCATTGTATTTGGCAAAGTATTTATGCCAAGAGAAACACGTCCTCGATCTATCTGATTCATTTCTATGCATCTGTAAAACTATCTATCTTTATTCAACGGATTAAAACGTAAAGATATTCTAAGCGCATACATCTAAAACACAACATGCCTGTTGCAACATCCGGCATGAATCAACAAAAGGTACAAAAGAAACAACAAGAAACGATTTGTGCCTAAAACTTACACCCACTGTTTTTACCAACAAAAAAGAAGACAGAAAGAAGACAGAGAAAGAAAGAAAGAAAGAAAGAAAGAAAAAGAAATAAAAAAAAAATAAATAAAGAGAAAGAGAGACGAACGAACCGAGACAGAATTATTCTGTTGCAAAGTGAAAGTTTCCTTTAAAAGTTACCAAGTAACGCGAGTTGGGTGTTAAGGCCGAACACACGAGTTTTAACGCCCCTGCAATGGATATACCTATCCAAATTTGGATTTGAAAAGTATTTTATGTTAGTCAATACAATTGACAAAATTATAATTATGTTTATATATATATGATTCGAAAGTGTTAGAAAATAAACATCAATAATATTAACCAATTATACGTGTTAAATTACAATAAGATGTAATTATTTGATCTATGAAGAATAACATTTAATATTTTTAATAAATTAACTTCTCAATTATTAAATTTTAATATCATATACCTAAAACGATTCTATATATTCCATTTTATCGATTTTATTATATTTTTCTTGTTGTTGTTGTTGTATTTATTTGAAATAAATCGTTTTGACAAATGATCGGTTACATCATCTAAACGAGTATTGCATTTATGTGCTTGATCATAGAAGAATCAATCGAAGTTATTTTCTTTTATTTTGTTCATTTATAACCGTGAAACGTTTCCTTGTCGTCATTTGTATGAAATGCACAAGGTTTCGATGAGAAAACTGAAGACACGCAAACGTCACTGGTATTATGCACTCACGATTGTGATTATTGTCTAACCGACGATTACGTCATCGGTATGCACGATGCTAATTTAACATAGCTGTACTTCATTCCATGTATATATATGTAAATATATTGTATATATATATAATGATTGAAAGAAGAAAGACAACCCTGACCATGCAATCGATCGTTAATCCAAAGATAATGAACTCTCTACCCAAAAATAATTCTAATCAATAATATACATTATTTATAGTATATTCTATTTATAATTTTTCTACGTGTCAATTAATATGGATGTATTATAATTTATATTATGAAATGTGTCATATTATATAATCAATTTTGTTTATAATTAATTTTATATATACATATATGTTACGTGTGTTATTTAAATTATAATAATTAGTTAATTAAAATTATATTTGTATATGTATATATGCATTTCATTTCTAATTTATTCGATATAATTTATTTAAATAATTAAATCCAAAGGATGTACTAAATCATATTGTGTATATTTACAAAAGATAATAAATACTGACCATGAAAGATATAATCTATAACAGAACCGTGTGGAAAATCATTTTGTCGGTTGAATCAAAAGAACAAAGAGCATCTTAAACCTTCACTTCTATAAAATAATAATAAACGATTACACATGCATATACATATAAGTATATATGCATAAAGTAAACTAAGAGAATAATGTGTCTATGCCCAATTATAATTTTTATCTTATTGATACAACTAAAAAGAGAAGAAAAAAAAAATAGTAAATACACTTCAACTCCGATGATTGTATTTTCAATATATAAACACCATTTCTAATAACTAACAGTAATCTTTTATCCGTATATGGTAATAACTGTTCAAATATGTTAGACAAACGTTAAGTATTGTATTGACGTAATTAAATGCTATTATATAATATTTATACGAACTTATGACAAATTATCCCGTTTTTTCTTGTTTTTTTTTTTTTTTTTTTTTTTAATAACAGTAAACGAGTAATAAAAAGAAAAATCTCCTCAAACGGAAAAAAGAACAACGTTTGATATTATAAATTCAAATACATGGAGATGTTAATTTATGATTATATTATAAAGATTACGTAATGTAACGTAGAAACGATTAACTGGGAAAATTAATAAAACCTGTTATATGTGTGTGTGTGTGTGTGTGTTGTATAAGTATTATACCTTAGGTTAACACAGAAAGAAATAAAAAAAAAAAAAAAAAAATTGAATAAAAGTTTACCTAACGGAAAACTATGGTAGGAAAAGTGGCCAGTTTATTCGCGTCGTGAACTTTGACTTTGCCATCTTCAGAGGTACGAATAATTGCGTCGTAACCGTTAAAGGGTTAAGAGTTCAAGATGGAGACCGTGTTCGTTTTACACATCGAGAATGTGTCGAAGGATGCGTACAGAAATGATGGTGTCATTAAAATAGAAAAGAGAGTTACACACATCAATTTTACCAACATTCATTTGAATACATATATTTGCAAAGTGACGTTTACCGTATCTATTTATAACAGCTTCCGTTTTGAAAGATCAAATTCATGCTGGCTGAAATCACATTAATCGATTGAGTGAAAATAAATATGAAAATAAAAATGAAAATGACATTTAATTTTCTTTTCAATTTCTTCTAATATTTTTCTTTATATCTTATTTAATTTTATATTTATATTAAAAGTGTTTCGGATATTTGAATGATGCAAACAACGTTTGAAATCCAAAGTGTGTATTGTGATAAAAAGAAAAGAAGTATTTTTTCTGGTAATACATTTCAAAATAAATTAGATAGATATTTGTGTGAGAATGATAATTGATTAGAATAATATTTATACTAAAACACAAAAGGGGCCTGGTATATATAAGTTGTTAGGTTGGTTAAAAGGAGCGACCTCCTTGAGAACGGTCCTTGACTCGTAGAAACCGGCACGATAACAAGAAAATACTGCAAACGTGGTAGTAATGTAGTAAATATATATATATATATATATATATACTAGTTATATAGTAGTATAGTAGTCATAGTAGTAGTATTAGTAGTAGTAGTAGCAAAAGAAGAAGAAGAAGAAGAATAAGAAGAAGAAGAAAAGGAATAAAAGGAAAGGGCGAAGGACAAGAAGAGGGCAAACTGGAGACTAGTAATGGCGCCTCAACTCACACACAGTGGTTGAAACTTGCAAGAAATAAATTGGAAAAGAACACTTTATATATTTAAAATAATAAAAATATTAAAAAAAAAAAACTCATGTATTATATCTCATTTAATAACAAAAAAAAAAAAAGAGAAAACACCAAAATAATAATAATAACAATAATAAAAATAATAAAATGTTGATTATCTCTTAGGATTGTAAAAAAGAAAATAATATGTAAATGTAAGTAAAAAAAATTCTTTCGCAAATGAGTAACATTAAAAAAAAAAAAAGTATCTTAAAAACATTGAATTAGATTAGCATAACTTTCTAGAATTAATGTTCGTCGTATAAGACTCTCTCGTATATGATAATTAATTATTACGATTGAAAGATCCTCGATTATAATGTATCTAGACTTCAAGAACGATTAATTAGCAAATTGGAACGATATTTACAAATGATGATAAACAAAATACAATTCCAACGATTATAATTTCTATTCCAAGAATAGAGAATTCATTATTTTTTCATTGACTCATCTTTACATTTTCGAGGATAGATCTACTTCCGGTGGCACATCGGGTACGCTTGAGGTATCAAGGTATGCGACTTGGAAGGTCAAAAGGTGTACTGGATCGTGACCAGAAATATTCTCCAAAGAAAAAACTTGGAGAACAACGAAGAAGAAGAAGAAAGATGAACGTTGTGCGTACTATATATATATAATGCACTAATACAAATTTA